CAACGAACGAGCATCTGAATATGATATTTCTATCGCTATCCCTTTTTCTGCCGTCATAATAAGTAAACCCCAGAAAAAAGAGCCAATCAATGTGTATGCTCTGGTGTGCGGGTAACTTATTCCTTAAATATTTTCCTTAAAATATCAACTTTAAAGTTAAGGTAGCATAGGAGGTATTTTAAAAGTTAAGGAGAAATTCGACTTACGGATTTCTATGAATAAGACTTAAGTTTTCCTTGTAGATAAAAGCAAAACTGTATGATTTTAAGGAACATTTTGAGTTAAGGGGAATTTTTTATTCACTTAAGATTCTTTATGAATACGGCCCCTGCACTCAAGTTCACGCACTGTTCATGCATATATTTACGATTCAACTCTGAAACATTTTCAACAGAAAGGTCCCCAAACTATGATACAAGATTTCGTTTTTGATAACCTTTGTAGTTTTGTTGCTATTTAAAATGTTGAAACTGATGTATTGAAAGCAGTGGTAGTATTAGTAGTGTAAGTAGAGCTAGAGTTCGCTCTTGATATATAGGAGCAGTGATAGTAGATTTAGCAGAAGTAGAGATGGTAATGTTAATTTTTGATACTTTCAGATTACTAATACCACCACAACCACCACAAGCATTACCACTACTATGACTACCACAACTTCCACAGCCAGTGTCATTTTCTGATGATGATCAATATACCGTAAAATGTGACTGGAGGGCAAATATTAATAATGACTTTAGTCACTCGCTAGGTGTGAGTTAAATACTGTTATTTCCTACTAGCCGTAAGAATACATACCTTTTCCGAAAAGTGATACAAATACAAAGCATACCGCTTACGAAGGCTGAACGTGAACTGTATACATTTTCTACCAACGTAAGGGCGTAATATTAGTTTCTGGCAGTGGTGTAATAAGTCTACAAGCCTTGCAGTGTTCTCAGTTATAGCAATAATAATAGCACAAATAAGAACAACTGAATATTTAAGTTTAGAATGAACAAAAAAGAAATCACTTGTAAGTATGCTTTTATCCTCAGCGCTATTAGTCACTTTGTAATCATTTGAGCGAAAAATTACCACAAGGGGAACTTTCGCTAAATGGTAATCGCATCATGTGTATTATGGAAGTGAATCATGGGCAGTACAAATGGTTAGATCACAGGACAATACCGGTCTCCTTCACGCGTGAAAACTGACCGCTTAACCAGCATGAAATATTTATCTTCCTTTATATATGTATATCAATATTTCACGTAATTACAAGATGTTTTCATATAGTTTCAGTTTTCACAAAGAGTTTTATTTTGCTAATTTGATACAACGGAGATTAAAGAAACCCCTGAAATGTAAAATCTGCAGTGGCTGTTGTGTGATTGACTAAACTAGCGTAGTGTTTGTTTATAGTTAGAATCAGTGTAATTTATAATCTTGTTAAATATATCTTCTTCGCTCAAATTGTCGTAACTTTTCAAACCCCAGTTCAAATATTTGTAAACCGGAAAACTTAGCTTATCTAAACACGTTCATTTTCCTTCAATATCTCAATCATATTGTTATTGAGAATAAAATAATGTGAGATTAATTACATTATATTAACCCATTAGAAAATACTTATATAATATCAATGAAAAAGAAATAATACACCTTATTCATTTAACTGAGAAACTATCTAGAGTTAACTTTGAACTGAATGTTTCAGACATACTTGCAAGTTATTTCTGCTCATCTAAAACAGGGTCTTTCAATTTCAAAGACCCGCCGTATATAGATATTCGGAAATCCTAGCCCGAGGGTGATCGGTTCCGTCATGCAGGAACGAGCCACAATGATTACTCAATCACTTACTTGGTAAAATAATATTGCAAAAGACATGGTTATTCCCAGAACATGCACTCTTGTCAATGAATTCAATGCACGTTTACCAATAAAGGCCGAAAAGGCCAGTGTAAAAGTCCATTTTAAGCACCAGTAACCATGATCCCAGTGTTGGACTGACAATAAAGGCTGTAGTAGGAAAGTGTAAACACCTGTGACTTATTCCAGTGATCCTTAACAGTTAACACCATCAAGAGTTAGAGTATCACCAAAAGTATCTACCTATTCAATATCGCTCACCTGATTATTGAGGCTCTCAATCAATATTGTTAGCAATGAATGAAAGGCAGACATTATGCATAAACTTAAACTGATATCATAAAATTCATATCTGCATCTGAAATAGTGCAAATGTTATACCTTTTTATGGGCTCACAGTGACCATTTTTTGACCTAAGATGACCAATATTCAAACTTGAACTGGAAATCATTCAAACAACCTTTCTGACCAATGTCAATGGTATTTGGTCTAAAATGTAACCTCTGGATTGATAACAAAGTTTTTCCACTTTTGGTCTGTGTGAACAAGATTTTGACCATTGATGAACCATGTTCAAAGCTGAGCTAGAAATCATCAAAACAAACTTTCTGACAATTTTTTTAGGATATTTAGGAGGAAAATATTACCTCTAGAATGTAATCAACATTTTTCCATAATTTAAGTTGTGTGACCTAGTTTTTGACCCCAGATTACCCACATTACCTAGAAACCATATACACAACCTTTCTGACTAATTTCCTGGATATTTCTAACTTTTTACTATATGTACATCATGAAAATTAATGCCCCGCGAGGCGGGGTCAATTTTGACCCCAGGGCTATAACTTAAATTTTTTGTAGAGTTTCATTAGATGATGCTACACACAAAATATCTAAGCTGTAGGCCTTGCACTTTCAGAGGAGAAGATATTTTAAGTTTTTACAATCTGTATAAAATGAAAATCGATGACCCCCAGAGCGGGGCTAATTTTGACCTCAGGGCTATAATGTGAACAATTTTTGTAGAGTTTCATTAGATGATGTTACAGACAAAATATCTAAGCTCTAGGCTTGCACTTTCAGAGAAATGTTTTTTAAGTTTTACTTTATACATAAAATAAAATCAATGACCCGCTGAGGCGGGGCCAATTTTGACCCCAGGGCTTTTATTTGAACAATTTGTGTAGAGTTTCAGGAGATGATGCTACACACATAATATCTAAGCTCTAGGCCATGCACTCTCAGAGAAGAAGGTTTTTAAAGATTTCATTTTAAAAATGTATTCTTGACCAGAACCATTTGAACAATTAAAGTAGAGCTTCATATTAGGAACATCCCAAAAAAATTCATCAAGTTTGGCCCAGTGGTTTCTGAGAAGTTGTTTGCATAAAGAGTCGATAACGGACGTGATGGACACCAGACAAATTGTGATTTCAGAACTTTGTGCTCAGGTGAGCTAAAAAGCAAGACAAAATCATGCTTCTTTGACATTGTTCTTCTCTCACTGGTATCGATCCACTGTGTGAAATTTGAATCAATTTCCTTCAAACTTTTCGACAAGCGATTAATATTTATAATGAAGGGAGATAATTCAACAAGAACTGTCCTCATAGCACTCTTTGAGGACACGTCGTGTTGAATTATCTCCCTTTATCATACTTACATTGATCGCCCCTGACCAGCATATTGTGCAGTTTGCATCAAAATCCTTCAATAATTTCCATGCTATGCTTTGGACAATAGTGATAGACAACCAAAAAGGAATTAAGGTACTGTTCTAAAACTACATGTACAATGCCAAAAGTGTGTATATTTGGCTTGTTGCACCACCTTGTGGTCCACCATCCTCTACAAGTTACATAAATCTTGCCAGAGGGCAAAGTTGGCCAAGCCCAGAGCAATTCAATTTATAAAGAATTATATAGAATAACACATTTAAATATGCATGTGACAAATTATTTGGACGACAAAAATGCCAAGAGCTAAGATATTTGGCATGTAGCATTATCATGAATAATCGGCAAGGTGTTTTGGATTGTGATTCTACAATTCTAATTGTTAGGTGTTAAGGGTAATACTGGTGCCTCATAATAATTAACAACATCCACCAAAAGGCCCTCTATAAATCAAAAGAAAGTTTAATAAAGCAAGTCTATATAATACTAGAACTCCGCGAGTCGGATGTGTCGCCTTGTGAACAATATAGTTTAGGAGAAATGGCCAGGACAAAAATGAAATTTGAAAATCAACAAAGGGCAATAACTCAAAAAATAAGAAATGCAGAGCAGCAGTTTCTGTGCACTGCGCTTCTTATCAATAAGATCTATCATCCTATTAAAGTTTCAAGTCTAAAGCTTTTATAATTTATGAGAAAAGGCCTGGACAAAAATAAAGTATGAAAATTAACAAAGGGCTATACTCAAAAAATAAGAAATGCAGAGTACCAGTTCTTAAGCACTGCACTTCTCCTTAATGAGATCTATCATCCTATGAAGTTTCAAGTCCATAGATTTTATATTTTAGGAGAAATGGCCCGGACAAAAATAAAGTATGAAAATTAACAAAGGGCAATAACTCAAAAAATAAGAAGTGCAGAGTACCGGTTCTTGTACACTGCACTTCGAGTCATTATAAGAAGCATGCATACCAAGTTTGAAGTCAATCCGACTTATAATGACTGACTTATGCTCCGGACAAGCTTAAAGGGACGCCGACAACGCCGACAAAAGTAACCCCTATATAGCGCCTTTTTCAAGGCGACACAATAAGTGACCACCAGGGGCAACTTTTGTAGATGTCTATAAGGCTATTGTCAGGTATTTAAGCTCAAGGCATTGTAGTTTCACACAATAAGACTTTCATGTGTTTGTTATATAAGTTATAAACTAAGTGACCCCAGAGACTGGGCCAGTTTTGACCTTAGGGGGCATGATTTCTATAACTTTTGTAACAGACTATAAGGTGATGGTACATGTAAAATATCAAAGCTTTAAAAAGTTTAAGCCTTTTGGTATTATGGTTTTAAAGAAAATTGGAAAAACTTCGTTATCATAAAAGTCTATGGGGTAAAATAAAGGACACATTGCCATCTGATAATCACAGATCTTGTAATGTTGTGCTCAGGTGAACTAAAAACAAACCCATCAAATTACATGTGCTTTTTATATCAAACTTACAGATGGTAAATAATAAACAATGTGTGATAACAACTTTTACCTTATGTTCTTCAAGTAAATATTGAATAATATCATAGTAATGTAAGACATATCATGAACACTGTCTGAAATGTGTATATTTCCTTATAAAATTTCACATGTGCTTTGTGCTGCTGAATATATCAAGAGTTCTCAATTTTTAACCAGATATATTCAACATTCATTAAGAGCAATTATCATCTATACATTGAACAGAAAAAGTCAGTTTCTCTGGGTTAAGAATGATATCAACTGATAAAATTAATCGCCTTTCATTTCATTAACTTTTAATACCCTTCACCACCAAATATATCTAATCATAAATCTTTCCTTTTCCAAACTGTTGCGTGTGCCACTGACCACTGGTTTTTATGTGCAGTTTCTCTGATAAAGAAAGGCATATTAACATCTTCGATGAGATCAAAATCTGGTCCAAGAGTTTTCTTCAGAGTATCAAACCCTGTAACCGGCCTCCCAGCTTCATCTTTGTAGCCTCCTAGCCATGTGCTCTGATAATATAAAATGATCAATTTCTATAGATGTCAAAATAAAATTGTTTTGTCATAATCTGCTTTTTCAGACATTTATGTTTTTCTTTTTCAATGGTGTGACATTTAAATTTCTTACAGTAATAATGCAGATACTGCAATGTTCAGATTACTGAATACTCAGAAAGCTGTAAGCATTATCTGAATAATCCAAACAAAATGCACCTTTCTATTGAATTTTAATACCTGCAGATGCAAATCACTTTGTTTATATATTCTGAGACAGATAGGTAATGGATTTAGTGTTCCATTGTCTTCTACATATGTTGACAAAAAATGTCACTGTTAAGATAGATAGATAGATAGTTTATTCACATAAGACGTGTACAAAATGCACATGGTCACAAAATACATACGTTCAAATATAATTAAACATCACGTAATCATCAAAGTTAACATTATTTAGTAGCAAAGTGTCATACAATGATAAAACTACATCTTTGGACTGCATTAACAAAACATGGAGAATGAAAAGAAATAAAGTAATATTACTAACAAGATAACATTTTTATAATTATGTCTGAAGATTCGGTTGATTTAATTCCCTGCGTTTAAATGCTTGTGCTATAAAATTTCCCAAATTTAACAAGACTTTTTTCTTTTTAGAACTTAATAAATCAATAAATTTGTACATGCTCGGATTTTTCACATAATATTTTGGTATGAATTTGTTTCTCAGGTCAGAATATTTTTTGCATGTGATTATAAAATGAAATTCATCTTCTATGTCATTACCGCAGAAATAACATAATCTTTCATTTCTTGGTTTTCGATTACGCCCATGTCTAAGAGATTCTATAAATAAATTATGCGACGACACGCGCAATCTAGTTATGCTATTACGTATTTTAAACGAATTTATTTTAATCAAGTAATCCGATATACCAAAGCTCGGTTTTAAATGTATGTACAAGGATTTCAGTATTTCATTTTTCTCAATATCTCCAAATAGTTTCTGTAAGGCACAATCCGTTACTGTTTTCTTGAACAAATTTACAAATAATTTGAAATTTATGTTTTCATGATTTACAAAAACAGAGCTAAAACCATAATCATCAAGCAGTTTTTTAACATGGAAAACCCAATTCTTTCTACCATTATAATACTGCGCCAATGAATGTGCATAAACTGATTTTAATAGCATATTATCCGTATTGATAATCTTGACCCAGTATTTAATAATATGTACAAAACGAAATACATATAAAGGATAGCGACCCAATTCTGCATATATAGCTGCGTTACTTGTCGATTGTTTTACACCAAGGATTGTTTTGCAAAACTGTAGATGAATACGCTCTAATTCACAAGACTTAGTAAACCCCCAAATAGGACAACCATAATTTAATATCGATCCTACGAATGCATCAAAAAGTTGCAATGAAATATCCGGACGAATGTTATATCTTTTGATATTATTTAACAATGTGTGCATCGCCCTAAGTGCTTTGCCTTTTAGACATTTTATATTTAAAGCGAAAGTACCAGTGTAATTCAACGTTATTCCCAAATAATTGAAATCATCAACAATTTCTAACTGTTCATCATTATAAATGAAATGTTCATTTCTTTTAACTGGCCCTCGTTTCCTAAAAACAACAACTTTGGTTTTTGCAGTGTCAAAAAGTGGTGTGAAATAAAGAGGTCATTTAATATACACAACTGAGAACAATACTGATTCTATCTGACTTGTACACAGCTGCAAAACCTATATCAGACTTGGCAAGCGCCTCGTCCAATATAGTTTTGACAACTGTGTATTCATCGAATAGCATTCAGTATTGTACTCAAAAATGTATAATAACCTCATAATAATTAAAAATCTTATAACATGAAAGACAATATTGCTTTTATACGAGGGTAGGTCAATATGTAATGCAATATGGTCAATGAATTGAACAAAAGAGCAAATATTTTATAATTTTCTATTTCAACCCTTTGAAATAATCTCCTATAGAAATACAAAGTTTCAGAAGATTAATCGAATTTTTAAATTCTGCCACATAGTTTCCTCTTTAGGTTTACCTTTCAATAACTGAAAAATGGCCGGCCCCAAGTCCATTTCTACGTTTGTAGTGATGACCTGCAAGATGTTTTTTCAGTCTAGGAAAGAGTCAAAAGTCAAAGGTGCTTAGCCTGGAGAATTTGATGGATGTTTAATACAGTCACTTGTTTTTCTTGAAAAAAAAAAACAACAACAAAAAGCAAAAACAGCAGCTCCTTTGTTTGCAGAAGCATTGTCAGGCAGAAAATACCAGTCGAAAGACAAACTTTATTGAAGTGTTTTTTTTAAATATTTTTCTTAACACAACATCTCTATTATTCTTGAATGTGATAGAACCGCCTCTAGAAACAGGAATTAAGACAACAGTTCCAAGGAATTGAAAAAAATAACAAACATAACTTTCTTGACACTTGTTAAATGTGAATAAAATCCTTAATCGGTTGACTGCACACATGATTATGGTATCATTTGAAAGCCAAAAAAGTGCTTTGAAACAAAGAAAAGTTTACAAAAACACAAGAATCGCAAGCTGTATTAGAAAATAGACTTCATATTGCATTACATATTGACCCACCCTCATACAAGAAGTTGCGCTCAAAACTTTTAACTAATATGTTTCACAGATGCTTACAATACATACATGTAGGTTGAGGATAACGTTACAAGGCTTAATAAAGTAAAGCCAAGTTAAACATAAACATACCTTATCAGTAAATTGTGTGAGCCATGTGTATGGTGAAGTAATGACAAGAATACCACCAGGTGCTACCAAACCTTGAAGACGATTCAAGAATTGAAATGGAGAGTGGAGACGACATATTAAGTTGGCAGCTAAAATACATCCAAATTTTCCCAAATTTGATGGTAGATTACATGCATCACCTTGGATAAATGTAGCTCGACTTCTATCCTGAAAATAAAAAGTTTAATCAACTATACAAAAAGATAGGGATATGCAACACAGTATACATTGTTATTACACTGAATATATTGTCATTGATAAGAAGAAATTGACCAAAAATTATTAATTTGTTAGACATCATGTCCTCAGATATGCTTATTAATTTGTTAGACATCATGTCCTCAGATATGCTTATTAATTTGTTAGACATCATGTCCTCAGATATGCTTATTAATTTGTTAGACATCATGTCCTCAGATATGCTTATTAATTTGTTAGACATCATGTCCTCAGATATGCTTAGTCAAATAACTTACATTTAATACATTTAAACCTTGACTAACATTGAAACCAGATATATACTTTAGGATGATGAATGTTTCACCAAATGGCCAATTAGTCAATAAATTCGGAGCCAAAATGAAAACACGAGGAACCTGATGATCCAACTAGCAACCCCTGATATACACATATACCCAGGTAATACTCTCTCTATTGAGCAGGCTTAGTTCCTGTCATTGGACTCTATTAGCTCCCTAAGTATATATAATCTGTATGGATATATGGACAAAAGTTCTTACTGAGTTGACAATATGGTGTTGTTTCTTTGCTCATCAAAAACCACATTGCAACCTTTAAGAAATGTTTTCACAAAAAAAAACAGTGCATGTACATATTGAAGAAATAATGTACCTACAAAATGTCAACTTTTACATAGGACTCTACCCTAACTGTCAAGTGAGTGCCCTTGAATGGACATCCAAGTGCATAACATAATACCTCTAAAACCATATATATAGGCATATAATTATAATGTGTAACATCAAAATTTAACAAGGCAGTTTCCTTATCACAAATATTCTTCAAAGACAGCCTTTTAGAAAATTAACTTTTAGTTTTTTCATCATAGAGGTACATTGTACATCTTCACCTAAACTGTCCAGTCTAAAACATTTTACTTTTACCACTGAAAAAAGAAACATGTGCACAAAAATATCCTAAAGAAATAAAGAAATATGCCCTTAAAAATTACACCTGGAATACACTTTAACATCTAATATGGAAGTAGTCTACAAGTATTCAAAAGAATATTTATTTACCAGAGATTTAGGAATAACTGCTTCTAGATGAGTGACTAGATCTCCTTCATCTTGAATGAAGTAAGGCATTTCCCCATTCTGTTTCAACGTATTACAGGCATCAATGAAAGCTTGACTATAATCTAGCCCTACAACATCTGCAAACTTCTGACAAAGCTCAAATGATGATCTTCCTACAGCACAGCCAATATCTAAGGCTCGAAGTGGTACAGAATCCTGTAAAATAAAATTTGAATTATTTAATTATTTCAAATCAATAATCACACAGATAGTGTCAAGTTAATTTGGTGTCATACTGTATATGAGCATTACTTGGAGATCATTACTGTCCATTAGAAAGTGAAAATCAGTACATTATTTCAGCAGATTTTCCATTTCAGGCACTAGCAAGAACTAGAATATCAGCAATTAGATTTTATACACAGGAAGATCATACCCACAGCAGTAATGAGCAAGTTTGAACTCTACAAAATCAAGTTTTGAACATTCATAATGCTCTCCTTTGTAAAGAAAGTAAAAATTACACAACATACATTTTTCCCTATTTTTTTGTTTTTTGTTTTTGTTTTTTTTGTTGCGTCTGAAATCACACTCTATTTGAAAGACCCTGAATACATGAGATGCAGGTTTGCTCTGGAAAAACATTTTCCTCTGACTATTAGACATGTCCATCAGACATCTAGATGATTTTGGATAGTTGATGTCTTTCTCAAACAGTTTGATAGTAAGTATGAAAAAAAGTCTGTAAAATGGGTTACTCTAAATGAATTAGTAATAGTATACTGAACTCTAGCTGTGACCTACATGTAGACCTTAGACCTAGAGACATGACACTATGTATTATGATTGTGAACATTTGTATCTTATATACATGTATACATGTAATTCCTCTGCTTACCTGTTGCCCTAACCTGACAGTACTCCCCCACATCTGAATGCAAATATGCCCTTGATGAGAATTTTGTAATTATGCAAGTTTTGTGATGTTGGGTAAATCATCTGAATCCAATTTCAACAATTTGAACCTAAAATATTGCCGTTCAGGCATAATTATATCAGGTGTCAAAATCTAGGACATCAATTATCCTGATAATGTTTGAGTTATTAACGTATAATGATATGATATGTTAACAAGTTCAGAACTACTTACATTTACTTTGAAATGTTTTAAACAAAGTTCTGCACAACGTTTGGGGAAATCTAGTGAATCTTTTGGTCCAAAATCATATTTTAGAATTTCCGAAGGAGAGCTATAATGAAAAACGAGATATTCATTCAACAGTTTTTGTGATTCATAAACATTATCTGTCTGTCTTCTTGTTCTCTCACTCCTTAATTTATATGTCGAATAAACTGCTATTCCAGCAGTGACACCAAATGCCCCAAACACGAAATACCTATGATCAATATTTAACCAAAGAGGCATCACTAATTTTTCCGTCAACTCAACCAGCTGCTTTTGTAAACAAAGGGGCAGGTAATCCACGGTATAATCCACGCTTGTTGTTGTTGTTGTTATGATGGTAGAACACCGCTATTTTTTTCATACGGTGTCGTAATATGTCATAGCGTCGCAAGTGTTTTACGGTAGCACGGAGGTGACATGTGTGTGTTTTTATTTATCTCGTGCGCACGAGATACTATGTCGTGCGCACGAGATAATTAAGTGGTGCTCACGAGATACCATATCGTGTCCACGAGTAACTGAGTCGTGCCCACGAGATAATTAAGTGGTGCGCACGAGATCGTGCGCACGAGGTACACACACACACATATATATATATATGAATTATATTTAAGCCAGAAAGAACGTACGTATGACACGCTTATAAATGTAAGTTGACAAAAACACATCCCTATCAGCATGCAATGGCTTAAATTGTTGTTCCAAGTGAGCTTTAAAATTATAGAATAAATTACATTAAATTGTCATTATGAAAATTGCGCAATTACATCTAAAAATGCAATACAAACAGTATTTTATTTCAAAAGCATTACATAAGTAAAGGGCATATATTAATTGTACCTTTGCATTAAAAATAAATGTAAAAAAAAAAACCCACAAAAACAAAAAAAAAACAACAGTTTTTTCCCTTTGCATTTGAGGTATCCAAGTACAGTTAAACCTGGGTAAAAGACCACCTCAGATTAAAGGACAACACGGTAAATAATGGCCACTCTTCAAAAACGATTCATTAATAAAATAGAACAGTGTATAACCTCCAAATAAAGACCACCTGTCTATAAATGTAATGTTTGGTCTCTCCTTTGGGTAGCCCTCTGTTCACAGGTTTGACTGTAAAATGATCGAAACAATACACTATATAATGTTACACTGTTCAACATGTAGATCTATATTAACTATATATTCACACCATTTCTATTGTTTTACTTTACTTTCTTCCGTTTGTTCGTACTGTTATGCTCGGGTAGATTTACAGATTATATTACTATTATTTTACTTCGTCAATTCTTAAATTCGTAAAATTCGGAATGCATTAGCAAGAATTTCTTATTTGTTATTCTGGTTTATGAAAACAATTATACAACAATGGTATGTTTCATATTATTCACATTATATTTTGGAGTGTTTGACAGGTCACACTATTGTATTATACTAGATTTTTTTAGAAATATAACTATTTCATCGACAATGATTTCAATTTTAAACAATTGTATAACTTTGAGTTTCTCGCAGGTGTTGTATGATTTATTCTACAGAAAAAAACCTTTTCAATGGATTTTTTTATTATCTAATTAATATCAATTAACTCAAATGTTTAATAAGTTCAAAGGATCTGTAATTTCTAAAATAGAGTTGCCAGGGTTAGAGTTTTATATTTTAAATGTTTCGACAGTACTCCTATATAAAATTTCAGTCTTAGAAATTTCATAATACTTGGTTACCAAAAAAGGCTTTATTTTATTGATGTTTTTAAACCGAAACCTTAATATTTTTTTACGTTACAAACATCATGTTTACGTAAATAACGTAAATAATTGACGTTGTAGCTGTATAGGTGTGTACACGGTACTGATGTTGCCTTTGAAATCATATCTAAGATGGTTACATGTGAATATAACCTTATATAACTCTAGAAAAAATATATCCTGTTTATATTATATAAAACACAGCATTTAGGACCTTTTTATATAATTTTATATAAATATAGTGAACATTTAACGGACCGTAGCCGAAGTCGAGTATGTAACCCCGCCCTGGTGGTCACTGTTTTGAAAGATCCCGTTGAATTTCAAAACAACGCATAATATGTTTAGTTCCACGCCAGAAGTGTCTGTTTTTGTGATGGAGGCATTTTTTTGGTCCCACAAAATAAATTCTCGGTGAAATGAAACAAGACAATGGTACAAGTCCATTATTTGTAAATGCAGATGAAACTTTGTATTTCCATTTGACGAAAATGTTATTAAAATGTTTTGCAAAAAAGAAAGACATTAAAATGGGTCCCGAAGTGTTAAGCAGATGTATATATATGTTTTTATCCCCTTGTATTTTCATTGTGGACTTGCAAAACAAATGTGGCATTCCGTTCATTCCATAGTAGTTCATCCTGGGAAGGGGGAAGGCCGGGGGACAGGACGTGAGGAATATGCCCACATAAACAAACACAACAAAACCGAGACTGTGATTTCAAACTGTTTGATTTTTAATGCTATCTCTCTCATGGAGATTTCCCGTTTTCAGATTTACAAACAAAATCAATTTCATTACATTTTTTGGGGGTGATGATCAGGACTCATATTTAATGAAAGAAGATTGTCAAGAAAGTATATTGAATGCATTTATGGTTCTTACAATCTATAAATCTAAATAAGGCATTTTTGAAATTGTGTTTGATTTTCGGATATTAACTGTAGAATGATTAGGCAAAGCATCTTCATGAAGATATCCAATATTGGTATATTTCAGGACTGATATTGCGTTGGTTGGGGTAAATATGAATTATTATCAGTCGTAATATTTTGGACTGTTACTTTCTTCAATGTTTGTCATATATTTTGGAATAACCATGAAGTTACTGGTTTCCTGCTTGCTTGTGTAATTTATACATTTGGGGTTATGTTTTCTGCTACACTGAACTTCACAATTGACGATGTCTAGGTCTACTGTCCCCTTATTACATATAATATCAAAACTGTATGCTGCCTCCTGTAGCCTTCGAAATCCAGTCATTGGCGGGTGAGAAAAGGGCCTGACAGAAATTATAGCTGAAAAAGTATAAAGTCAGGGCTATGTAACAAATGCTTTGTTAAGCTGTAACTGAACAGTACCATGTTGTTAATAATGCAAAGCTTATCATAGTAGTAAAGCCTCCTATAATGTTTTGATAAATGTTGCTTGTTGAGAAATAGTACGGACAAAGTTTTCAGGGCTGTCACACATACAGATGATGCACTCGAGATATGACCAGAAACTAGTTTTAAAAACTCGACAAATAAACAAATATGAAAAACAATGAATTTTGTTATGGTCTAGTCTTCAACTATGAGTATTGGTGATCAGACAACATGCATTTGAGCCGCATCATGACAAAACCAACATAGTGGGTTTGCGACCAGCATGGATCCAGACTGCGCGGATGCGCAGGCTGATCAGGATCCATGCAGTTCGCTATCAGTTTCTCTACTTGTAATAGGGTTTGTAAGCGAACAGCATGGAGCCTGATCAGACGACTTGCTGGTCGCAAACCCATTATGTTGGTTTTGTCATGACGCGGCTCATTTGCTCTAACAAATTAAACTATTACTGGTTTAATGTAAACATGACCATTCTGCATTCAGACTGAACAAACTGCTGCAAAAGGAAGCTCTTCGAATACTCATGGACTTACAGATCAAGAATATATAGGTAAATGATCTCGTTTAAGAAGTGACTTTATTAAAGCGTATTGGTCTTAATCAGTTTGTTGACCATATTCAAAATATAATAATGAAGTATGACTTCTCGCATAATCCTTGAAACCCGTGCATTTGTATTCAATTCCTACTTTTTTTCCAAAGGTACCAAATACACGTTGTCTTTCACTGTAAAATTTTGTTACTACACAAGCAAATAAATGTTTTATATGTAAACGTGCTGAAAAACAGGGTTACACGAAAGCGCGAGCAAAACTTGGAAATTCTGCTATTAATATTAAAGATATGCTATGCTCAAATTTGATATCGAAAATTGCTAAATAGTCTCTTTGTAATTGAATCTTTGTATTTCTGTAGGTTTAGATTATATTGAGGGGACAAAATATCATCTAGAAAAATATTTGCATTGTTTTTCAATTTTATAATACATATTGACCCATCATCATATTGTTCAATGTTTAATATAATGCTGATGAGGAGAATAGTGTGGCTCAGTGAGTGAAAACGTATTTTCCATAATTAGTTGACGATTCTGTTCAAAAACATTTTCATATATAAGTTAAGTTATTTAAAAGTAATCTGCAAACTCATTTATCACAAATTATGATTATAACTTATATGAAATTCATTTCAACTGTCTAGCTGACCAGGTTATGCCACAGCTAAATATAGACCTGTAGGCAGAATGAAAGCTGTGTAATAGAATTTATGTGAACTTTGAAGGTTTTTTCAGAATATATAACAAACACATTTTAAGCTGAAAAAATGGGGATAATCGAGTTGCCTGTCCCTGAGTTTAAAGATGTCTGTTTTTCCAAGAGAGATGATTCACAATTAAAGTTTGGTAGTCTTTATTTTCTGCTTTTCATGTATCTGACACATCCTTTCGGGTGAATGTGCAAAATTTCAAGAATTGGTTAAGAGCAGTTTTTCTTTCCTTTCTTTTCCTTTTTTTTTCGGTTAAAACTAAGCCAATTTTCTTTAATATGAATTGTTTCAGTCTTTTTATTTAAACTGAAAAATGTAATACAAATATTTAATGGAAAATACCATGAAATTACATGTGCAATGGATGAAATAAAATAATCATGACTCGATAGTAAAAGAAATGTTTGTAAGAAATTTCAGGGGCAGACTACTTTATTTTTTACACTTGGAATGTATTCAAGGTTCATGCAAAGTTTTAAGAAATTCTCTGAAACGGTTTAGCTTTCTGACCATATGTCTATAGATATGTCTATAGATATGAAACTAATACATGTATATGATTACTGTTTTACGGTATTTCACTGATTTGTAGAGTATAAAGAAGCGTTTAATCTGTTTGACAAGGATGAAAGTGGTACGATTACAACAGAAGAACTAGGCAAGGTGATGCGATCACTAGCACAGAATCCAACAGATCAGGAACTTAGAGATATGATTAATGAGGTGGATGTAGATGGTAAAACTCAGTAACGTGTATAACATAATATCTTTCAGCTACTTTCATGAAATTAACCAGCACAGTAAGACAACACTGTGGTAAATTATTACAGTAAAGCCATGCTTACTAACCGAAATAAACAAAATTTCATTAAACTGACACACTTGTAGTTATTATTAAAAGATAGGAGCAAAAATTATTGATATTGATAACATATATATGTGAAAAATCGACCAAGAACACTTTGGCAAGATCATATTTGAAATAAAAAAGTTGGTTTTGCTTTTAGTATTATTCAGCCAGATATAAATCAGGTCCGTCAACTAAGGTCAGAGTCGGTGACAAATGAATTTAACTATCTTGTCATGAAGATATTGTCCTGTCCAAGTATGAAAATACTAATAATACAGTCATAAATAAACAAATTATAACAAAATCAAGCAGAATTCTATTATTTATCTTTAAAGTGAAGGTCATTTATGAAGCAATATCCTTTTTGGAAGTCTTGTCTTTAAGGTTGTTGTTTCCAAGCATGAAGACTAACAAAGTTATAGCCAGTTGAAGCAAAAAATACCCCAAAAAAACAAGTAAAAAGCAAAAGACTGACCTGCAAGATAAAGGTCATTCTTGAGTCAAGGTTAAGTTCGGTTTGGTCTTCTTGAAGGTCTTGACGAAAGGCTGTTGTGTCCAATATAAATATAATCCATAAAAAATAACAAAATTATAGCAAGCTGTAGCAAAAAATAAGCAAAAATAAAAAAACAAAACTTAGAATGCAAAAAAAACTTTAGAGTCAATGTCAACTTCAGTCGATTTACTTGAAGATTTTGTCCAAAGGGTTATTGTATTGTAATTATAAAGATACTCCGTATAGAAATTGAAAAAGAATGTTACAAATTGCGGACGGTAATTGAAATGTCGGTATGATTCTACTAATGGCTTGATCTTTTTTTTTATTCGCTATAATCGAGCTGAAATATAATAAACATACTCTTTACCTTTTCATTAAAATACTGTTTTGTCCTTCGCAAATGATAAGCACACAGTCACTAGCTGAGGTTCTTTGAGTAAAATAAAAAGCATCTATTTATCTGTATTGTAAAATATATCACCTGTCACTATATATATATATAGTACTTTGATTTACAAAATAAATGGTTCGGCGTTCTGACGACAAACCTAATAATGCTTTGAAAATATTTTCAGACTCGCAAATAAATCTATATTCAATTATAGGTAATGGTGAAATAGATTTTTCTGAATTTGTGGAAATGATGTCCAAAAGAGCCCACAATCACCCCGATCCAGAGGCTGATCTTAGAGAGGCTTTTAAGGTTAGTGTTTTTAAATAAGAGTTCCGTCAATAATAAAGTTATAGCCAATTTGTTTTATTTATTTTTCAAAATTCAATAATTTGACCTACACGTCAAACGTTTTTTTTTAAATATCAAGGTCAGATTAAGTTTGAACTCCCTAGAGATGTTTTTCAGAGTGTTATTTAGTTCAAGTACGAAGACAATCCATTTATTTACCACTCGCTGCCACATTTTTATTATTATAATAATTCAATTATTAATTATTCGGATTATAATTCAAAAGTATTTGAGAACAAAGGATACACAAGAATGATAACTCTCGAAATTCTGTTAATCAGAGCAAGGGAACATTTACTCTTTATATTAACTTCTTTTTCTTGTTTAATGAATAGTATTTAAAATTATACTGGCTTTATAGGAAAAAGAATTTTAGGGGTTATTATATGTCGATGTTCTGTTCTGCGGTGTATTTGGCAGTATGCGACTGTTTCTTGTATTTCCCAGGTTTTTTTCTCTCTATTTTCCAGGTAACTATTTTTAATTGCCGATATCAATGGTATGTTACTTCCCATTGTAGCTACTTTACTTTTCCAATTATGCTAACAGGAAATTTTCTGTGATGCAATGTTTTGCTGAAAACAAGTGTCATGTTCTGCAAGTATATCGGGAAAAATACACGAGGTACATTGGAAAAATATGTACCATTGGAAGTGGAAAATGGTCTATGTTTATCTGTCAAATATTGTAAGAAACAACGAAAAATTAGCAAATACCAATGTTACTGTAAAGAAACCCTGCTTCGCGCGAAACAATACACGAATGTAAAGCATTTTACTCGTATTGCTTCGCATTATTCTTATTTTTTTGTGTAACATAAAACATGTTTTAGATAATTTTATGCTCCATATAAGTTTGTTTCAAATATTGAAAAATGTTACGAAAGATTAGCAGTGACCCAATGTTACGAATGTCACGTGATCACCCACCCTGGTCTGAGCTTTCTTTGTTAATGTTGTTATATTGAATTTATTAATCATCTATGAGCACAGTCTCGTATTTTATCATTTTAATTAAACTCGTTCAATTAATTAACGATAAACCACTGAGTTTGTTTCAACATGACAGGTTTTCGACAAGGATGGTGATGGGTTTATATGTGCTAAAGAACTTCGAGTAGTGATGACAAGTTTGGGAGAAAAACTCACAGATAAGGAAGTTGACGATATGCTCAAAGAGGCAGATATAAACGGGGATGGAAAAATAGATTTTGATGGTACATTTTTAACGCACAATGCAAATTTGCCTGAATTGTCTTTTTGAGGATTTCGTTCGTAGTGACATAAGTCAGGGCTAACAGATTATGCCAATACAATATAACTCTTAATGTTTGCAGATGAATGGTCAAGTTTTGGAAAATTATGGCATCCCTTTCTGAAAAGTAATAAGAGACTTAATTATTTATTTATCGAGTCAAAGTTATTATTTAATGTTATAAAAAGTATACCTAGATACTCTTATCTGCCATTTAGTTAGTAATAAAGAGTTCGTAAAAAATCGAGAATAATAATCATATACATATGTTTTTCTTACAGAATTTGCTGCTATGATGCGCTAGATGAAGGAATGGAAAGAACAGAAAAATTATGAGAATGTGTGTGTGTTGTTAAAAAAACATGTGTATAAGTTTTGTTCAGACTAAGTCCTAAACAGTAATACAAAACTCGGAACAAATGTTACATACTGGCTATAAGTTTGCTCTTAAATACAAAACTATGTCATGAATGAAACGTTATACATGTATGTTATGCATGTACGTATGTATGCCGTTCTTTATGATAAAGTATGAATAAAACTTTTCCTCTTAATCAGAAAGAATAGATTAAGAAAGATTTTAATTGCCATTTTTAACTCTTATTAAAGTTAGTAAAATATATCATGCACTTTGTCAATTATTTATTTTGTAATAATCCAACAAATTAGACTTGTCAAAGGGACTTTCACATAACTTTGTACGCGCAATATCCTTTTCCAAAGGGGCATAAGTTAAGAAATACTGATCACGAAGTTTTGCCCCCTGTCCTGAAGAAACTATGACAATAATAAGTACAAAATCAAGTTGTTTTTTTTAAATCTTGTTTGAAAAATTTCTACTAATAGTCGGTTATAACAAAAATTCGCACATGCTTTCAGGATAAGACTCTTGTCATGCGTATCAAGTTTTTATAGTTTCCTGTTGATATCAATAATTGTTCTTCTTTAAAAGAAATTTTGACAAAAAATCGAAGCATCACTCCATATGTATAACTCCCAAAATGTAGAATTACGAATAATGACCCTTGGTCATACAAACTATGTTAGGACAGTTCGACATATTCGAACTTGACCTTTTTTTAGGATGTTTTGATCAAAACAGTAGCCTCTAGACTGATAACAAGTTTTGTTCATCCGAGATGACCCATGTTCAAACACTTTATATAAATTTAGTGACCCATGTGCAAGATATATAAATTACATATTTATATATTAGGAAGAAAGAAATTGTGAATAACAGCTAAGGACAGACAGATTTCCATCCTAATAGCTTACCTCCGAGCTCATGGGAACTTAGAAGTGAAAAGTTACGATTGATACAGTAGTATAAATATCAAAGTTTATTGGCTTAAGATACTAATCTTGATAATAAATTGTTCTATATAATTTAACACACATGATAAATATATTGAATATATATACACAATGTCATTTAGAATGCATAAAGGGATAGAACAGCATTGTGGTACATAAAGCAGAAAGGCAAAGGTGACTTCATACAATTTTTCATGTCATACTTTGTCATGCTCACATTAAACACATTGTCCATGTTGTTTAAGGTCATGTTGACATCAAGCGCATTATCAATGTTATATGACATATATGCATGTTTACATGCTATCTATTTGTATTATGTCATGTTGACATCAAGCACATTATCTATATTGTATTATGTCAAGCACATTATCTATATTGTATTATGTCATGTTGACATTAAGCACATTATCCATGTTGTATAATATCACATTTGCATAAAGCATGTTATCCATGATATATTGAGTCGGTATAAGTTCTTTTAAGTCCAAGATGATACAACAGAATATTCCTTGCTTCGTTTTTTTAGTGTTTAGACTTAATTTCTGATTGAAATTTACTTTGTGTCAAAGTTGCCATCTTAAATAAGCCCATTATTTCACAATACATACTTGACAGACTTTCTTCACATTATGGTATTTTACTGATAACTATATTACTATGATCTTAACAATTAAGCATTGTTTACATAAAACTTGGATTATCTTATATTGCCTACAATTTTGCATCAACAATAACTGTTTTGGTATCAACATTTATAATTGTCTGTGGTAATGGTGGAACATCAACAAATTTGCCTGAAAATAAAGAAAAAAATGTCAACAATAGATATGTAAAAAGAAATTGCTGATGTTGAAACTTGGTCAATGTATCATGAAGACATTTACTTAGATTATGGCAACAGCCTTTGAATTAGAATAATTTCATTGATGAAGGTATCAATAAGATCTAATCCTAAACAGGTTTTCACAGTGCTGGATAGTGTAACTACATGTATAACAATGTAGATAAGAGGTAGAGATTTGGCAAACATGCAAAATATCCTTAATGGACTTATTAGAAAAAATCGCAAAATCAGTACTGACTTATTAGTGAACAGTGCAGCACTACCATGGTAGTAGTGCCAAGTGATGTTGGTTTGTACTTGTCTCATGGGTAATTTCAGTTGTCACCAGCAACGGTTGATATAAACATTTTGACATTTTCTAGAATGTTAATATGTTTTTTCTTTGATTTAACCTGGTGACCTAGCTTATGACATAACATAAACCACAGTTTATTCTTTCAGAAGTAATTGATCAGACATGGCTAACAGGACGTCCATACATACAGTTGAGAGCACTATAATGATGGGTAAAGCCCTAATGTCAAATCAAAACTAATCAAAACTAATCTTCTTTTTAACCTTGGTGCATAATTCATATAACTCTCTAGAGTTTAGACTCTCAAAACCTGTATCTAGACATTGCAGTTTCACACAAGAAGATTCAAAAACTGTTTTTTCACCAGTCAAACTGAAGAAACTAAAAGACTAAACTCCCTGGAAAGGGACAATTTTGACAGAAGGGTCAAGATTTTAATAACATTTGTAGAGCACCACAAGGTGACACTACAAGCTAAATATCTTTTAGCATTGTAGTTTAACATGGTATGCTCCTTTTTATTTATACTTAAATTTGGATTTCAACCTCAACCTTGATCAGAGGAAGTCCAAACCTGGTGCATCCTCAACCTTGAATCAGAGGAAGCCCAAACCTGGTGCATATCATTTTATGATGAAATTCTTTCAGGTGTAAAAAACATTTAAGTGAATAATCTACATTTCTAAACTCATACTTACTTAGATCTTCTGTAACCCTGGATAATATCACCAGATTTGGATACATGTACGTAGACCCATCTCTAAATAATATAAATATATTAATTACAGCTTTAATGAAAGAATTAAAGATATTGGTGTTCAGGTTTATTTTTTTAGACCATTTTCTATCATTCTAGATAGTTTTCAGAGCAAAATTCAACAAAAAAAGTTGTTATTTTTTTATCAGATTTTTCAAACAAAGTGGCACCGTCAATGTCTTGGTTTGCAAATATGAAGGGAAGAAATGAGAAAGGCGAGTGCATCTACTGTGAAAAATATCACGTGTCCGGCCTCCTTTGTTGATATAAGGAAAATCGCTGATAGTGTTAGAATTTTATTCTGGGAGCAAGACACATATTAATCATCTTGTTTCATGTAAATAATTGAACCTGTAGTGAAATTCTATATTTTGTTTTGTTGTAAAATTTTTTACAAAGATTTATTACAATCAAAATCCATTCTAGAGTAATGAATCTTCAACAAAGTGCTACACGTTGTGAAAATTCATCATAGGCTACATGCAAAACTTTTTACTAGGAATTTTATAAGATCACAAAACACAATTTTTTCAGACAAAATCCATTCTAGTTCTGGACAGTGACCTAAACCATGCTCCTGAAGACATGTGTAAAGTTTCAAGCAAATACCTTGAACAGGTAATAAGATGAGAAGTTGCATACAAGTTGTCCCCTGATATGAATGCACCCATAAAGCTGGATAACCCTACATTACTTTTTTTTAATAGTCAACCAAATATAAACATAATAAATGTATGCACACACATATATGTACTTAAATATATTTGTACAGACATTATAGATGCCTTATGACTGGTTAAATAGTAACAATACATATCCAAAATAGTAAATCACAGTATGTTGAATAATAATAAACTAACCTTTTTTCTTTATGTACGGCCCCTAAGTGATACAAGGAGTGTAAGGAATTATTCATCATATCTAATGAGAGGATTTCCTTGTGGTTTACATGCCCATCTCGTATCAGCTGTGAGCTCAACAATTGTGCTTCTTTTGAAATGGTTTTGGGTAACTTCACCAATGGCTTACCATGAGAGCCAGCTTGCATAGACAAAAGATATCGGCACATCACCTGTAATAAAATAGCAACAACTTTTTGACATTTGTTACCTACAGTTGCAAAACAATCAATATAAATTGAAATCTTTCACAACAATTACTACACAGTTCCTGTTTCCAAATTCAAAGAATTCTCTTGAAAAATACATACTCTATTAATTCTATAATATTTCTATTTAATTACTGAACAAAAAGTACAGCAAAGTTTGACAACATAAATTTGTTTCAGAAATAAAAATCTTTCAATTTGGGAAGAGACCAATGCATGTAATTCCTCTCTAACAGGTTTTATTTAAACACTCTGATGACAATAAGGGAAAAGATATATTGTAACAAAACAAAGCTTTCATTAAAGTTGTAAAGCTATCAATTATTTCTCTTATTTTCCAATAGATAGTTCCTCCACCCTTCATAACCTGCTTTCCTCAAGCAAAATTATTAATGACATGGAACAGTGGTATAAATATAATTATTTATTATTCTACATTTTGTATATTAATATAATAATTAATGTTAATACATGGATGTATCGGATGATTGGATGTTCATACATCCAATCATTTCATTTATATTGTACCACATGACCATCCAATATTTTTTCATTATAAACACTGCAGTGTCCATTATAATTATCCTATATGGACAATAAAGTGTGTTTGGCTTTTTCCATGTAATATCAATGATTGAAGCAGTTCAAAACAAAAGTATTCAAATAAATATTATAAAGAGCGTTGCAAGCATCTTGCAATGCCAAACTTTTAACAATATCAAGTTGCATTTCCTTAATATAATTTGGATTTATAATAAACAGCTTATTAAACATTAAACAAGTGCAATGCAGGAATATACTAGTATATAGCTTTAGAAATCAAATAAGACTTTTATAAAGAATAACTGAAGGCTTGTCGAAGCTGTGTACTTGTCCAATTTTGTTTATGCATTATACAGTTAAATTTTAAATAACCTACAGATCTTCATGTAATTTGTTTAAATATCTTTAAAAGAAAAGTATATTCACTAACTGTAGGCATAAAAGGAAAACCCATGACCCCACAAGATGAAGGTAAATGTGACCTTAGACGTTTATTTTAATAACTTTGATAAACTTCGGTAGAGGACCAGAACCATTTAAACAACTATGATAGGGGACCACCCAAGGATCAATCCTGAGAACGATCAATCTGTGAAGATTGGTTAATATCGTCATTGATTTTAGAAGTGATGTTTTTGTCTGATACATGATATTCAGGTTTAACATTATCCAGCATACAAGCAACATGGATTCTGCATATTGCCTTGTTGATGTGAACCTTTGAACCAAGTATGAAGACCCAAGGAACATGATTTATGTAATTTTTTTGTCAGGTACACAAGGCAATGCTACATTTAAAATATCTGATCAGTTGGTATTGTAGGTTCACAGAAAGGAAGTCAAATGTAGACATTCAGACAGACTAGTAAAGACATTCCATTTTCCCTCTCCTGATTTTATAGGTAGGGGATAACAAAACTTTTGTATATCATACCCAGTATCCAAGGAGGAAGGGTTCAAACATCTTACTGAAGAATGTTGTGTACTTGTTTGTTGACTTCTTTATCTGTACATTACCATTCTCTACAACCACTCCACAGCCATGTGTCAAAGTTGCTAATGCCAAGTCAAAATCCTGTTATACAATATATACACATTCTTATATGATGCAATCAATTTGACAATATTCACAACAAGAAGTGACATCTGCTCATGAAAAAAACCCAAGTCTTATTTCTTCTTTGTTCTGATAAAAAAATTTGCTGCATTTAATGATACAAATATAAAATTAACTAATTTTTTAATGTGATACTCCATTGATAAAATAGTGCACAAGTTTCTGTGTAGTTGTGATGCCACTACAATGTGTTAAACTGATTAACTAATATAAACTAAAGTTACCTGCCACGCTAAACTTGACACAGTCAAACAAACACAAAACACCGGTGCATGTGCATATTTATTTTCACAAAGAACATTTTATGACGGAATGAGTAAGGCACTTACAGACATGTGGAATAATGGAGCAAGAGTTTATTCACCATAAAGTTAACAAAGCACTTGCTGAGCATCAGATGACTATCAATAGAGCCTGGGCAAGGCTCCATTAGTATGAGTCAAGGACATATTCCTTACAGTATGTGCATACAGACTTCATACCATTTGCTCCAGTCAAATTTATCGAAATTGGTTGAGTGGCTTTTGAGATGAGGCACACATAAAAATTGTCTACACACAACCAGACAAGCAGCCTCAAATCAGTATAACCAGTTTCCAACTTTACTGTGTGTGTGGTTTAAAAAAGATAATGAAATTACCTGGTCAGTTTGTCCGGGCATAAAAATAAACTCCCTGTCTAGCAACTTTTCTAACAATGTGTACTTGGATTTCAATTCCGCTGAAACAAGATTTGTAAATTTTTCAATTTCTACATTTTACATTAAAAGTAGTAATTAACATTTATCTTGAAAGATATGTTTATTACTGTCATATTGACAATATTTATGATATATACCTACTGGCATATGAGACACACTATGTTAAGAAAATATTCAATATGAAAGCAAGGCAATATGTCTCTCACACATCAAAAGAAAATCCTAAACAAGAGGGCCATGATGGCCCTGAGGTCGCTCACCTGTATATAGGCCTCCCCCTCCTGGCAGGGCCAATTTTAGTCCAAGGGCTTTTATTTGAACAAACTTGGTAGACACTCATAAGAAGATGTTTCATGCTAAACATCTAAGCTCATTGGGTTTTTTCAAAGAAGATTTTTTAAAGTTTTTGCTATTCACATATAGTTAAAAACAATGACACCACTAGGGGGATGCCAGTTTTGACCCCAGGGCTTTTATTTGAACAAACTTTGTAGACACTAACTAGAAGTTGTTTCATGCTTAATATGTTAACTCTAGCTATTTCGGTTTTTTCACAGAAGAGTTTTAAGTTTTTGCTATACACATATAAGGAAAATCAATGACCCCCGGGGCGGGGCCAATTTTGACCCCAGGGCTTTTATTTGATCAAACTTTGTAGACACTCACTAGAAGATGTTTCATGCTTAATATCTAAACTGTAGCTATTTGGGTTTTTTCAAAGAAGATTTTTTAAGTTTTTGCTATATACATATAAGGAAAATCAATGACCCCCTGGGGCGGGGCCAATTTTGACCCCAGGGCTTTTATTTGAACAAACTTGGTAGACACCCATTAGAACATGTTTCATGCTTAATATCTTAGCTCTAGCTCTTTGAATTCTTTAAAAGAAGATTTTTTAAGTTTTTACTATGTGCATATAGGTAAAATCAATGACCCCCTGGGGCGGGGCCAATTTTGACCCCAGGGCTTTTATTTGAACAAACTTTGTAGACACTAACTAGAAGTTGTTTCATGCTGAATATGCTAACTCTAGCTATTTCGGTTTTTTCACAGAAGAGTTTTAAGTTTTTGCTATACACATATAAGGAAAATCAATGACCCCCGGGGCGGGGCCAATTTGACCCCAGGGCTTTTATTTGAACAAACTTTGTAGACACTCACTAGAAGATGTTTCATGCTTAATATCTAAACTGTAGCTATTTGGGTTTTTTCAAAGAAGATTTTTTAAGTTTTTGCTATAAACATATAAGGAAAATCAATGACCCCCTGAGGCGGGGCCAATTTTGACTCAAGGGCTTTTATTTGAACAAACTTGGTAGACACCCATGCAGCCATTACAACATGTTTCATGCTTAATATCTTAGCTCTAGCTCTTTGAGTTCTTTAAAAGAAGATTTTTTAAGTTTTTACTATGTGCATATAGGGAAAATCAATGACCCCCTGGGGCGGGGCCCATTTTGACCCCAGGGCTTTTATTTGAACAAACTTGGTAGACACTCACTAGAAGATGTTTCATGCCAAGTATCTAAGCTCTAGCTCTTAGGTTTTTTTTAAAGAAGATAATTAAAGTTTTTTCTTTTGGTTGCCATGGCAACCAGAGTTCTGCATGGAATTAAATTCTTTGAACAATTTTTAAAGGTGACCACCAAAGGAACATTCCTGTGAAGTTTGGATGAAATTGGCTTAGTGGTTTATGAGGAGATGTCATTTAAAGTAAAAGTTTACGGACGGACGGACTACGACCGACGGACGCCGGACGAAAAGCGATCACAAAAGCTCACCCTGTCACTTTGTGACAGGTGAGCTAAAAACAGGTCCCAGGAAAGGAATTTTGATCTTTGACTTTTACAAAGACATGGTTTATTTTGAAAAGAGAATAACCTTTGAACTAGTGTCATGCATCTTTCATGCCACATATCATCTACTTATTATGGTCATGTGCACTATTTATATTGAAAACTCATTATGTATACAGAAGTTATGGAGTAGAAACAAAATGTGTATTTTTTTCTTACAAACACACTAATGTACAGACAAGGATAACACTAAATGCTCCCCTCCTCACATACACAACCCACCATACATTACATGACAAGGTGATTTTTTTTAACAAGAACAGAATGTGAGTAACTTATAATAAAGATAAAATCTATTTGTAAAAGTTATCAACATAAATACTTACATACAGGAAAAGTGTCTTGAACACAAGTATTTATGGGAATTGCTATAAGTGCCACACGCACAAATACATTTAACAGCTGGTTTCTATAGAGACAAACCATCATTTCTTGTGCTGCTGATGTCATTAAATTATCTCCAGTTTGATTGACTAATGTATCATCAACTGCTACCAGTTCAACTATATCCTCTGCAGTTATGTGTGCAATATTTTTATGTGTGAATATGTTATGTCTAATAACTGCCTCTGCTGACTCGTTTACTTAAATGTAAAAAAAAAAAAAATATCAATTCTGATATGTTATATAACACCATTTACTAAAATGTAAAAAAAAAATATAATATACATTCTTATATGTAATATAACAAGCAAATTCGTTGAATTTATATCCCCCGCCGAGTACTGGTTATTATTAACACAACAACTGAAGACATAAGGCTATGCAACAGACCGGAACCATTTGATCAACTTTGGCAGGGGACCACCCTAGGATCATTCCTGTAAAGTTTGGTTGCTGTGCAGTCATTTGTTTCTGAGGAGATGTTGTTTAAAGAAATTGCTGACGACGCATGACGACGGACGGTGGGGGATCACAATAGCTCACCTAGATGTAAAAACATCTTAATCTCCAGACTTCATTATTCGTAATTTAGTGATGTTGATCATTATTCCTGTAAAGTTGGTCGATTCTAACTCAAGCACTCAAGGATCAAATAACAACATAATGAAACAGTTTTTCAAGGGAAATAACTCTACAAATACTGGATAAATCCACAAGCGAAACCCCAGGAACAAACTAAATATGCTGAGCAACTTTCCAATAAGGTTAAATGACTCTATGTCAAATCCTTTTTGAGTTACATGCGACACATGTTGAAAATTGCAAACATTTTCTAAGTCAAGGGCAATAACTCTAAAAATACTAAATAAATCCAGACGAATATACCCAGGTGCACAACTACACATGCTGATCAACATTCCTGTAAAGTATCATGACTTTAGGTCAAATACTTTTTGAGTAACATGTGACACAAGTTGAAAATTGCAAAATTTTACTAAGTCAAGGGCAATAACTCTAAAAATAGTAAAAATATCCGGATGAAAATACCCAGGTGCACAACTACACATACTGATCAACATTCCTGTAAAGTTTCATGACTCTAGGTCAAACACTTTTTGAGTTACATGCGACACAAGTTGAAAATTACAAAATTTTACTAAGTCAAGGGCAATAACTCTAAAAATGCTAAAAATATCTGGATGAAAATACCCAGGTACACAACTACACATACTGATTAACATTCCTGTAAAGTTTCATGACTCTAGGTCAAATACTTTTTGAGTTACATGCGACACAAGTTGAAAATTACAAAATTTTACTAAGTCAAGGGCAATAACTCTAAAAATACTAAAAATATCCAGAAGAAAATACCCAGGTGCACAACTTCACATGCTGATGAACATTCCCATCAAGTTTCGTTGAATTCCAGCCATTAGTTGCAGAGAACTACTCCGGAAACGAAATTCGGACGTTTTACTAAGTCAAGGGCAATAACTCTAAAAATACTAAAAATATCCAGACGAAAATACCCAGGTGCACAACTTCACATGCTGATCAACATTCCCATACAGTTTCGTTGAATTCCAGCCATTAGTTGCAGAGAACTACTCCGGAAACGAAATTCGGACGGACGGATGGACGGACAACGCCAAAACTATATCCCCCTCCCGATTCCATCGGCGGGGGATAACAATACCCTAACTTTCATTTAGACATAAAGCACTGAAGAGAAATATGTGGTTGTCAAACCAAACTTAATCACTCAACTTAGTATATTTCTCAAATTTTAAATATATAAACATATGTTCATTCTTAAAAAAACTTAACAAAACAGAACTTATTGAGGAATATAAAAAAGACCCTATGATCTATTTTTTTTTCTCAAAATTTTATTCTGTTATATATATGACAAAAATATGGAAAATGTTTGATGAACAATAAAAGTGTAACCAAGGCTTTCTTTAGATGACCTATTACATGGCAAAGATTTAACCTTGTGATGTAGCATGCCCTAAACTGGTGACAAGGTTTTTTGTTTGATTTGATTTGACTGTAGGTGTGAAATTATTTATTTCCAAATTAGTCAAACATACCTGGCCAGTCTATATATGCACCAAGATTTGATGCTTGTCGTTTCAACCAATCTACTTCTTTTATCAATTGTTTCATTGGTATACCCTCCATATTTTGCAACAATACTGCTGCTATCATGGACCAGGGAGCAATTGCCATATTTCTTAACTGCTGTAATGTTATATTGTAACATAACTTTTGTATCAATGCTTGCTCTTGGAATGACAGACTAGCAATATACCTGAAAATAGATTTTGAAATCTTTAAAACATCATCTGCTATCTAACTATCCTGTATTATGTCACCGAAAGTTTTTATTACATTTACACAGTTGAAAATCAATTTAAGTCTAAAATACACTTACACAGTTGAAAATCAATTTAAGTCTTAAATACACCTTTACAGTTGAAAATCAATTTAAGTGTTAAATACATTTAAATAGTTGCTCAGCTAGAAGCTATATTGGTAAGAGGCAAGTGGTTTAAAGTTAATGTTCTTAACCACTCAGCCAAGGACACCCAATATATATTCAAAAATAATAGTGGTAATAAAAAAGTTCATCAATTGCACTTCTGAGGTCTTCCGTCACCAGGAAAACTAGACACAAACTCCAACTGCGCTAATATAAAGACTATGTGATAAATACACTAAGTTCAATTCCCTGCCATAACCTCAAAAACAGGGACATAGGTCTTATACCCTACACATAGTCTACTTATGGTGGTATTGTAAACAGATTTAATTGTCTCAATCCAATCTGAGCTGACAAAAGATGCATAATTATGCCCTTGTGTCAATAAGAACAACATTTCCTTGGTGTAAATATGAACATAGCTTATTATGAAATGAAAACAATACCTTGGTGATAAATTATGTGATGTTCTATCCACAGAATCTATAGAGTAGTTTCTAATTGAAACAGGCTCTCCAATAAATATATGAACATTCCCATAATCATCTGACAATATACTTCTGGCTTTGAACACACCCTATACATATATATAAAATATCTAGATTAATGTTAATCTCTTTATTAATGAAATCAAAGTTTATGTAAGAGTATGTTATAAATTTACAAACAAACATCTCATTAATCAAAATTCAGCCTAAGGATGGATGTTCTTTGAACCTGTACATTTGTCAATGTATTTCAATACACATCAGTCAATAAATAAACACAGTGGGAAATCAATTTTTAGCACCAGTGACCCTGGCCGAAGGAACCCCAAAGTCCACCCACAATTATAAAACCACCCAGGCTATCTTACCTATCTATCAAATATGAAATCATTAGTCAATATTTATAATGGTGCATTAGCAAAAATGTAAAAATCTATTTTTATCAGTCTGGTAACCTTATTCTTGACCCTAGTCAACACTTTCTCCACCCAAAGTTAAAGGGCCACCCAAATTAACTACCTAATGTGTAAGACATTAAAATTTTAGTATAATTTTAAAATCTGAAAGCATGAATAAGTTTCAATAGTACTGATGTTTAAAGATAAATGTTTCAAGATCATTTCTGTGCTGTTTGGTCCAAATCTACCATGTGGTTTAGCAAAAGAAAATGTGAATGATGACAGACAAGTAAATAAACTTGAATAAAGCTTTCACCTATTACAAATGTACACTTGTATTACATATACTGTATAAGTACTTATTTTGGCGGGGGTTTATATTTGGCTATATTGGCGGTCAGGGTCAGTAGCGCCAATTCAAAACACCGCCAATTTAAAGCACCGCCATTTTAGATCATCGCCATTATTCTTTGAAAGGTAGACAACTCATGGTAAAATAGCTTTGGTTTGTCCGAGTAATCTCCCTTGATTATTTGTAATAAAAATAAACATTACAAGTAAGCTGAAAAGAATTCCATGGTCCAGTTACCACACGGTACCATATTTACACCTGTCTGATCCCAGTTAATTATAAGAATTAGCACGATGTAAAGATAAAGGCTGCGTGACCGGTGTTATTTTTATTTATTTTTTTTATTCTTTATTTGTAATCGCCAATTCATGACCCCATATTTATGCCAACAAGTGTTTTAATTTGGCGGTCTAAAAGCGTTTGCGCCAATTTATGACCCTGCCAATTCAAAACACTTTAAAAAATGCCAACATTTGACACCGCAGATATAATGCGCTATACAGTATACAAATCTAAGCTTAAATGTTGAAATTGCTATAAGAGAAATGCCATGGACAAAATAACTTACTGATGCCGATTCTTTAGGTTTAGGGACACCAAGTAGTTCATAAGCATACAACTTCTCCTCTAGCACCCTGTCATATGATATACTCACAGGAACAATCATTATATCAGGTACCTGGGCCTTGAAGTATGGCTCTAAACATGCTGACATCATGCCTGACACCAATATTAGTCATTATTATGAATACAAAACACTAAAATATTCAAGTGTATTGCGGTCAAAAATGTAATTTGAATTTTACTATGTAAATCTACATTTATTCATTAATATTTTAATCATACAGTATGTTCTACTTCAAAAGCATATTGATAACAATACTTTTCAAGAGTTATTGCAAATTGCGTTTTTGTATTCCATACATTGTTTTCTAAATCACTTTTTGTCATCACAAGACAGTAAAGAGAGAGGCCAATTTGAACCTCTGGGTCATGATTTGAACAAACTTGGTACTGATTAATCAAACAATGCTACACATTATGATTAAAGATCAAAGATCTAGGCATTAGGGTGTGACAGATAAAGATTTTTTAATTTTTTTCCTATATGCCCAAATATCTAAGCTCTGGGCATTGTAGTTTCACAGAAGAAGATCTTTGATGTGTTTTTCTTAGTTAATATAAACAAAATTATCCCGGGAGTGGGCCAATTTTGACATTAGTTGTATTATTTATAAAAATTATAAAGAGAATCACAAAGTGATGCTACATGCCAATCATCTAACCCTTAGGCATTGAAATTTTAAAGACGATATAAATGTGTGAATTCCTATAAAAGTCTTCAAAGTAGATATTCTCTTCCCAAGTTAGCTTACGATCCCATTCTAAAAGAAACCTATCTAGTTTTCTACTTAAAATTTAAAACAGTTTGATTACCGAAATCATATCTCTTGCTGACATACTGAATAGAAAAGAACACTTCCAATCCTACAAATAGTAAAATGCTTATACATGTAAATAACTAAAATTATAAAAACACATGAAAACATGATTTACCAAATTTTGGACACAATGATTTCTGTGTCCGACTTCTTGTTCCTTCAACATAGAATTCTACCGGTGAGTCACCATTACAAATGTGTGTCTGTACGTACTCGGTGAACACTGCCCAATACAACTGGTCATCACCAAAGCTGCGGCGTATATAAAATGCTCCAGAGTTACGTAACAACCAACCAAAAAATTTCATACCCATAAAGTCTGAAATATAGAATAACATGAGATATATGTGGAGCTATTTCAAACATAAATGCTATGTGAATGAGACATTTTTGTACATTGATTTATACAGAAGTAAGAGAAAATGTGAAAGACAAATCAAAATTTAAAAAAGCATATTTTTATACTTTGATAAAATTGTTTTGTTTGGAGGTTCATATAACGAAAAACTGAAAAGGGCTACATAATTGTTAAAATTGATTGAATTATCTATCCCCCATTAAATAGAGCTGTCATCAATAGAAATGATATTGATGTATCACTGGTATTTTTCTGTTGATCAACAAACAATACACATTTAAAATCATTGATAATTTTCACTAATTTAGCAGATGCCCATATCTAAAACTATGCTGTCATTAAATAACTGACATATTTCATAGCAGTGCCGACAAAAAAGGGCAAGAAAAAAAAATCAATCATTTATAAACAAGACACATTATAATTGACTAAATTGTATAGACAGAACATGTATTTTACTGAAATCATTTGAACAGGTGTGAAAGTAAATTATAGACTTGAGTTATAAGTTACTATAAATACAGCAGTGTATTGCTGATAGTTGTCATTCAATATCAATATATCATCAATATCATTAGATTTATATCTAATATACACCAGGCTAATAGGCACCAGCCCACAAAAAGACAGTTATAAAGAATAACAATCTAAGGATTCAAGAGAAATGGAATATGTTTATGCTCAAATAATCAAATTCATTTAATCCAATTTGACATGGAAAATACTTATTCATAACTTTATAGTAGAAGGCCACCAAGGGATCAATCCTATGAAATTTGGTGATCAACATTTACTACAATGGTTTGGATTGAGATATTCTTACTTTATATTACAACTGTAAACATATGTCCCACATCATGCTATCATAAAATCTAATATAAGCTCAAAATGCAGTTTCCTTTTAACAAGATTTAGTTAGTTTATAATGATAATATTAACAATAAGACATACCCATAGCTGCAGCAATCACAGGCAGTGGTAGGTCATAATGAAAGAACACATAAGACATGAGTAAAAAGTCAAGGTAACTACGGTGACTAGGCATTAATAATATCGGATATTCTTTCATCATTGCTCGAACCTGAAAAACAACATAAAAACTTTCCTGTTAATAATATAAATGATACCCCTTTTTCCCTCTAATAAACTTGATAGATCCATTGGATCTTTGATAGGGCCATAGACTGCATTTGCCTAATAAAGTACCACCACATTGTTAAGAACTTATAAAACCAGAAACAAAAGTATCTAATCATTTGTATGCATCACCTAACAAAAATCAATGTCAAATAAAACCTAACATGTGAAACAAAACATAATTATTGTTTGTAACTTACAATTATGTCAAATGAGCTTGCATGTACATCATTTCAAAACATGGAAGCAAAAGATTACAGGGCTCCAGCTTACATAAACTCATTCATTTCATTGATTGAAGCTAAATAGCAATTCTGTCCGTGGGTCTGGTTTAAACATATAATGTTGAAATAAAAGTGGAACTCCATCAGTAAATTTTTTAATTAGTTCATCCAAAATATATACGTAAATTCAAATAACTTCAATATATCGTTAACATAGAGTATCAATAATTTACTTAACATGAGAAACCTCCAGAAAATATACCTTAAAATTATAAGGTAGTTAACCAAACAAAAATGTCATATGCTTTCTTACCTTTTGAATGGCCTCTTCATTGACATAGATTCTCTGGAAAAGACTTTTCATGACTTTCACAAGAAAAATTGCAAATCCACGAATTACACCAACACGTAAATTGTGAGCCATCTCATCCACCACAGCCTCTGCCTCTTTCATTACATCTTCTAGTGATGATCCAGTTTCTTCACATATCTATATCAAAAAGAGTGCATAACTTTACAAAAATAAATTTTAAGATTACCTGCCCTTCTGTAATGGTGTCATATTTAGAAGTGAACATGTATATATCAAGTTTGAAGTGAACAACATTGATAGATTCTAAGAAAATTGAACTTGACATGACAAAAAAATTTTAGTTGAAAAACAAAAAAATATCAGTTGAAAAAGCGGCATAACTTTACATATGTCAAGGTATGAAACTGTTCACTAATTTGGGGAGATAGTGTGTACAAAATGTAAGTGGCCAGATTGCACAGTCATTAGAAAGTTCTGTGATATGGTATTCAGATGGTATAACTAATTAACTTGAAGTTGCTAATAGTTAAAGGAAACACATTAGTTTTACAGGTACTTTTCAATTGTGACTGACCTTTGTACCAATTTAAGCTAAAAGCACTACTGCCAAATGATATCAAACTTATTTAATTCTTTCAGAACTACAAAGATTTAATATGATGTAAATTACCTTCTCTACAGCAAATTTGACTCTGTCACTATTTAAAACATCTTGTTTGACCTCAGCTGGTGACCTGGGTTCATTGTACTTGTATGCAGGTACTTCTCTTTGTCGAAGAGCCCAGCTTACATCACTTGTGTTTCGTCTTTCATCCAAAATATCAACAAAGAAATCTTTTTGTCGTGCTGACACCAAGCGAGGATCATCTATCAAAATTATAAAAGATGGGATAGTTTAATTGGCTCACTGTTTAAAGGAGTAAAATACTGTGAAATCATTATTATTTGTGGGTGATTAATTTTTTGTGGGTTTCATGGATCAGATAAACTTTGAAATTAAGTCCTGACTAAAAATATACTCATTCACTCAACAGCACCAAAAAAGGTGTGTCGTAATCACTGAATTTCACAGGTAAAATATTTAACTACATGTACAGCTGTTACATTAAGTACTTAACAACCGAAATATAAAACTGTTGATGAAAAATTATTTATTGCAGACTTGTAGTTGGTTATTTTGAATAATGAGGCATAAACATTCATCAATCTGACTAAAGTTCAGATCTACTTATTTCTTACATGTAGATCTGATTACCACCTTACATGTTTTGCCTTCATTGTGATTCGCATTTCCTAATAAAGCTATTTTTAGCCATGCAATCAAACCGGTTTTTACAGATAGGCATTAGAAGAAGTATCAAAATATTGTTGTCCTTGGAAGTAAAAGAAATTGTTGATTTTTGTTACAAAAAAATTATTTGAAGTAATTTGAAACAAGTAAACTGAAAATAATAGTCTTAATTTTTAATGGGCAAGATTGTTTTGCCAGTTAACATATGGGTATATGGACAATGCCGAGCTGATTTTAATTTATATACTCTCCAGCCAACACAAATTTTTGTTACAGCTATGGATTTTTATTCTCATCATGTTTACTGTTTAGAGGCAAAATTTTTCAACAATGATTAGAGAAGAAAATATAATTGGTTAATTTATTTATAGTTTTCATTATCTTTTATGACTGTCTAGTACTGTCTAGCCTTTTTTGTTGGGTTTTACTTTGCACAAACACAGTATAGGTCATATGGAGACTTTCCAATTTTAGAAGTGAAGGAATACTTCAGGTGCCACTGCAGGCATTATTTCTGGCACAAACGGGCACATGAGTAGGACCACCAATGTTCAGTAAACTAGCTGGATATCTTAAACTAGGATAGTCTATACCTAATAAGAGGGCCATGATGGCCCTTACAATGTATATCGCTCACCTGATTATTAAGGCTGTTAATTAATATTGTTACCAATGAATGAAAAGTAGATAAAATGTCATAATCTTAAAAAATAAACGGATATATATATTATAAAGTTCATATCTGCACCTGGAATAGTGAAATGTAAACAAGATTTTTCCGTATATGGGCTGTCACCTAGTTTTTGACCCCTGATGACCTACAAATGTACATGTACCTATATTCAAACCTGACCTAGCAATCATTTTAACAACCTTGCCCACAAATTTTCAGGATATTTGGGCTGCAAATTTTACATTTATTATTATTTGTTAACATGATTTTTCCAAAGTTTGACCCAAGATGACCCTTCTTTAAAGATGAGCTAGAAATCAACATATTAACAACCTATCTGACCAACATCCAGGATATCTGGGCTCTAGAGTATTAACAATATATATATGAGCTGCGTGACATACCGTAGTTTTTTTTATTTCAAACTTGAGCTTGTATTCACAAAAAAAACATTCCTGACCAATTTCCAGGATATCTAGACTGCAACAGTAGGCAAGGTTTTTCCATTTGGGCAGTGTGACCTAGTTTTTAACCCCAGATGAATGATATTCTATCTTGTGCTAGAAATCATCTAAACAATCTTTCAGACCAATTTCCAGGTTATTTGGCCCAAAACAGTAGCGGTAAGCCTCTAGTGTTAAAAAGGTTTTTACATATTTCGGCTGTGTGACCTAATTTTTGACCCCAGATGACCAAAACAGTATACAGCCACTGGAGCGTTAACAAGACCTTTTTATTTTTGGTTCCTGTGACCTAGTTCTTTCGAACTTGTCTGAGCAATTACTTGGGCAAACATCCTGACCAAGTTTGATGGCAACTGAGACAAAAATTTGAATAATAGTGTTTTTAATAACTAAGTGTGGTTGGACGACAGTTTACGGACAACGGGCATTCAATGATCCGAAAAGCTCACCCTGAGCCAGCTCAAAAAGACAATGCACAATATTATGAATACCTGCATTAATGAGTTGATCCATGCTGAGTTGCATAGGGCCAAGATTTCCTTGCAGCCAAGTTAGATTCAGGGCTAAGCTGACCTTTATTCAATTACACAAGATTTATAATCTTACACTGGCTGCTCAAGAGTAACTGTTAATGGTGGTAACGAGGCTCTGCAGAGTTACCACTATACAGTTATTTGAGAGCTAGATTTTCCTATATCTGTCATTCTGTGATGATACCCAGAGTCTAAAATCCTATTTCTTGCATACATGTCTTACTTATAAATAATATTTCGAAAAGAAATAATAAAAACTTATACTTTCATTTAACATTTTTATTTCTCATAGCGGCAAAACGCTGTCATCTTAAAAATGTAATTGTCACCGTTTAGAACTGTCACTATTTAGGGGAGAAGATGTGTAAGCAGACGGATAGCTCAGTCGGTAGAGCCCCGGTACGGTATTCTGAGGGTCCTTGGTTTGAGTCCCGGTGAGGCTGCACATTTTTCTCACCCACTGATTTGGCGCCCAACGGGGATCCATCACTGGATTTAGCTTAGTTTAATTTACATTGCTCTGTGAAATTCGAGGATTAATTTCAATGTAGCAGGGGACTATGTCATGGTTCAGAACTGTTCACTATTTATGGGAGATGTGTAAGCAGCCAGATAGCTCAGTCCGTACTGCAGTGACAAGGTATTCCGAGAGTCCCGGGTTCAAATCCCAGTCAGGCTTCACATTTTTCTCACGCTGTGAGTGTGACACAATTCATTCATGAAAGGTGCAATGTCGTTTCAAGCAAGAGGCCTCGCCTCGTCTTACACTGGATTGTAAGACAAGTTTTTCTATCGCCAGTGTAAACATTGACAATCCTATCTGATATGCAAGAAAATGTTCCGCTACATGTATATTTACACAACACTACCAGTGTAGGGCTACTTCATCAGTTCATGCAAAGCGTGCATATTAAACTTTAAAGCATACAGTACAGGTAACCTACTACACAATCGTATTTACAGTCATGGATTTTATTTATATTTATATGACAGGACTCAAAGGGATTTGAAACCTTTTCTTAGTATAATAGTACATATATATACTTAGAAAATGTTATGTGTACAACTGCATGTACAAGCCGGGTGAACCAAATCAACAGTCATAAAAAGGTGCAACTGTCCAACTCACCTTTTAAAATCCAGGAATTTCTTGACTGACCCGACATTTTACTATATTGATTGGTGGATAATTTAACCTCTGGGCTAGAAGATATCAAGATAGTCCTTTTAAATACATTACATTCCAAAGTACAAAATTTAAGTTTGTGCATTTGTTTTGACACAACATAATGAAGGGCGCTGATTGGCTGGACAGAGTCGCAAGACCACTACCGGAAAACGGTTAAAGTAATACGACATTCAAATTGAGTCAAATTTTATCATAATTATCGGATAGCATGACCACCAATACATGTACTTGTATTTGGAAAAATTTAACTTCCTGAAAAAACTATTGTGCGTCCTTGACCGCTGGTTCAAATGAAGGATTCTAATCATGTTTTTCAATCGGCAGTATCCTAATTGCCGGTCTCGTCCGGTCTGTCAAGAACGACAAAATCAGCAGTCTAGGCTCATTATCATATCATCATCAAAGTCTTATTTATAGAACTAGATTGACCGTTTTATGCGTGGTTTATTTATCTTCTTTAATTTAATGTATTACATGTATTTTTTGTGGTAGAGCTCTATGGTGTTTTTTTTTTCATAAAAGTCACCTTATTTTCAGCTACTTGAAGTTTGTGCTTCAGTGACTTACTCGATCAGTCCTTCAAACCGTTTTCCGGCCCCATCCAGTGCAATTATTTTGCATTGTTGGGGCAGGAAATAATGTACTCACTAGTCACATATGCAGATATTAACTAAATAAAGTGTTTTCCCTATAATAAATGAAGCATATGCTCGCCCATATGGTTTTAAACCGGTGGCGATGGTAAATAAACCCAACACACACACACACACACACCAAGAAAATGAAGAATAATCAAAGTGAAACGGCCCAAATACAATATATAAATCAAAGCACAGAAAGCAATGAATTTGTTTGGGTCTCAGAATGTCAGAAAGGTGAAGGTTGTGAGATTATAAACCAATTTGTTTGCATAGTGTCACCAATGCTGTTTTATAACTATAGTAATTAAATTGGCTTTAAGACTTATTGCAACACTGATATTCAATTCAATGTTTATTTGGCTTAAACAATTAAAAAAGAAAAACAAAAAACATAATTTGCCTTTACTGGGATTTGAACACCAGACCTCTCGCTTTCAAAGCGAGCGTATAAACCTCTCGACCACGTGGAGTTATAACATAACAGCCTGAAGAATACCATATTATTCTAAATTAGAGTTTGTATAACCCTTATTAATTTCGATATATTTTGTTCACGGTAAAACTGTTGTTTAACACTGAATCAAATAATCATGGGACTGAATATTAGCATGTATATCTATAAGAATAACAAAATATTAGAAATCTTCGACCAATCGGGAACTATTTTTTTTGTTACGAAAATTAATGCGCCTGTCATTTGACAATCTTTACGCATTGATCTCCCCTTATTTTTTCGACGTTGAGGTACATATAAAGGGAAGTAACCGCTTCGAGGAGTTTGGACTACTTTCGGCATTTGCAAATAAGAACATCAGGGTCTGAAATTTCACTACCATTATTTGTTTGGTTTGACGACCCAAACAAATAAAAACTAACTGGTCTCTTATTCCCGACATCTACACCTAACATAGATGTCTAATATTTCATTACAAAATATTTCATTCTTTATTATTTCATCCATACATTACTAAGGAAATACATTGACTGGGTTACAGAATACAATATAGAGAGCAAGAGTCCCACCCCCCATAGAAAAAAGAAGTTTGTTTGAAAAAGGCTTATATATGCTGATAAATGTGATTAAACCTGTCTAACAATTATGTATTTATGTATACGACAAACTCACTTAACGGCTATAACCTCGAAGCTTATTTTAGTTAAATAATAATAATAAAAAAACCAAAGTTACTTATTATATACAGCCATTTACTCTGTGGTTATTGTAATATAATACAATTAGCAAACTTAATTTTATCATGAATATACATCTTGCGACATTAAACGGTAGTGTTGCGACATTTAACGGTAAGGGAAAATCGTGCGACATTTAACGTAACAGTTGCGACAGTTGCAATCTACCCCATCATGTATGATTTATGGCGAGCTAGGAATATTGCCTTTGTCATTGCAAATTAAGTCTAGAGTTCTGAACTCTTGGGGCAAATTGATTAATGATAAAAAAGATAAAATTTGTTCTATGCTGTATTTCATGTCAAAGAAACTATACTCTGATTTTGATATGGATTTTCCTTGGTTGAAATTTGTGCATACTTCCTTAAATTCTCTCGGTTTTTCAAGTCAGTCAATTCCGTCCCTCATTTTAAGAAAATTATTTCTGTTACAATTAAGGACCAATTCAAGGTTGCCAAACTTTTGTTTATAAATCCAGTAAATGTCTGAATTATAGAATTTTTAAAACTCAATATGGTTTTTTAACATTTTACCATCAGATTTAGCAATAGCGTTTTTCAAGTTTAGATGTATGAACAACAAAATGCCAATTGAAACAGGTAGACTTTTTTTTAAATTTTGGATAGAAGTCTAAGAGTGTGTTGTTTATGTTCTGATAATCTGTTAGGTGACGAATTTCATTACATGTATTTATTTAACTGTTCCTATTTTCAATGCCTGAGAAAGACATACTTAGACAATTCATATTTTCATAGACCAAACATTATTAAATTTTCAAAGTTAATGAATAGTGAAAGCAAAAATGTTTTACTCAATCTAGCAATATTCTTTCAGAAAATTATCTTTGTTTTTAATAATACATATTGCTATATTTTTTTTCATTTTGATCTCATTCTCCGATTCTAATTTTGTTAAATTTTGCACATGTTTTATTTTTAATCTATTATATATTGTTTTGTTTCTTTATGTACATAATTATGTTCATAACATTGTAATGGTTTCATTTTAATATGTATCACTTTACTTTTTTTGTAATCATTTGTTATATTGTTGTTTTCTCACATGCCCTGTTGGGCCTTGAGATATCAATAAAACTTTGAAACTTTGTCAATTCGGGACATTTAACGGTAGTCAATTGTGCGACATTTAGCGGCGGTTGTGACATTTAGCGGCAATGGTGCGACATTTAGCGGCGTTGTGACATATTACGGCGTCACAATACATCATATATTGGGTGTTCCATGAAATAGTTGCTAGATGGGCTACGTATATTGCAATATTATATTAGTTATTTCACTCCAATATGAATATCGTCGTCTGTTGTATACTTGTGCTCTCTCCAGATACGAATAGACTTACATTACATTTCTTGTGAATCACTTCTTATTGACGTACACATACATGACAGATATATTTAAAGTAAGCACATCATTACTGAGGTAAGCATCTTTTAAAATGCTCATTTTAGATTTTCTTGAGTAAAACTAAAATTTAAATATATTCTGTTTTCTCTTATTTATAGACCCAACCCCTGAAAATTCTTTTTTTTTTCTCATATAATTTTTTTAAAATCAGACTTTCCACTGTACATTATATTTTATAAAGAGAACAATTATACGCATTACATGCATTTATTTTCATAACATTTACTAAGTAAAGTTAAATAGTTGGAACACAGTTACACAGATACTGTTATGCTAATTATAATAAACAACAATTTTATTGCGATTCAAATGTTAATTGAATTTACGGGCACAAAATAATTCTTCAAAGAATGTGTTCCATGATTTTTTAACCACTTAACACTGATACAATGTTCTCCATTATGCGGCAAAACTTCATTCAATCATTCCACAAGTTTTATTTTCCCTTGTTTCTGAACATTTCACAAACATTATTTTCCTGATTTAAAAATTGCCATCTTATATGTCTTCTGATTTCAACAACAAAACACAATGTTTACATAAAGTTATCCGTCCTACTGCACGAAAGGCAATACTGTCAGGCGGACATATTAACATAACATACGTCCCCAGGCACACAACCAAGCCTAAACTTCTTGTGCCTTAATTTTTATGTAAACATAGGCTCAAGTTATCGTCATGGGACAGTACTTCGGCAAAAATGCCCCCAGGATAATATTTGAAAACAACGTGTGAAATATATCTCCAATATTTAATGCATACAAAACGCTTTTGAAACGTTCATGTTTTGCAAAATTTAAATTATTCTGTTATATACATAGAATGAAAAGTACTCAAATTTTTTCAAGAAATTATCCTTTTTAAAATTTCATAACGTTAACAGGGAGGTCATTAGAATCTACTCTTTTTTTAATGCAAAAGTTACCTCCCTTTGAACCCTTATGTCATTTGCAACGTAATCAGGGGAGGTCACTCTAAACTACTCTTTTTTAAGCACGACAGTAACCTTCCTTTTGAACCCATACGCTATTCACAATGTTATCAGGGGAGGTCATTCTAACCTACTCTTTTTTAGCGCAGCAATTGCCTCCCTTTGAACTCTTATGCAATTTGCAATATTTTCAAGGGAGGTCACTCAAATTGACTTTTTTTAGCGCACCAATTACCTCCCTTTGAACCCTTACGCCATTTGCAAAGTTATCAGGGGTGGTCACTCTTATCGACTCTTTTTTGAGCGCAACAGTTACCTCCGTTTGAAACCTAGCGCAGGAATTGCCACCCTTTGAACTCTTATGCAATTTGCAATATTTTCAAGGGAGGTCACTCAAATTGACTTTTTTAGCGCACCAATTACCTCCCTTTGAACCCTTACGCCATTTGCAATGTTTTCAGGGGAGGTCACTCTAAACAACTCTTTTTTTTAACGAACGCAACAGTAACCTCCTTTTTGAACGCTTACGCCATTTGCATTGTTATCAGGGGAGGTCACACTAACCTACTCTTTTTTGAGTGCAACAGTAACCTCCCTTTTGAACCCTTACGCCATTTGCAATGTTATCAGAGGAGGTCATTCTAACCTACTCTTTTTATTTATTTGGGTCGTCAGACCAAACAAATAATGGTAGCGAAATTTTAGACCCTGAGGCTATTAATTGCAAATTGCGGAATCCCTACTTGTAACCAGAAAGCGAAATCGTCAGCATCACCCTTCATTGCATATGTTTAACCAACAAATTCCAGAAGTTTCTGAACACAAACATTTAGGCATCTTTCTTTCTTCTGACTGCACATGGCACAAACATATTGAATACATAACTGATAAAGCTTGGAAAAGGATTAATATAATGCGTAAACTGAAATTCTCTCTGGATCGTAAATCTTTGGAAATCATCTATATAGCATTCATTAGACCTATTTTGGAATACGGTGATGTAATTTGGTGCAATTGTACCCAATATGAACTCGAACAACTTGATAAGATTCAAAATGAATGTACACGCATTGCAACTGGTGCAACCAAGCTTATCTCACTAGAAACTTTGCAGAAAGAAATTAATTGGGAATCGTTATAAACACAAAATAAATATGTTTTACAATATGCAGTCGAACAAAACTCCAGATTATCTCTCACCATTAATACCAAATCCAAATCAATCCCAGTACAGCTTACGAAACTCTGAAGATATCAGAGGAATTACATCAAGGACTACTCTGTACCACAATTCTTTCTTGCCATCAGTTATTCGTGATTGGAACAACTTGCCTGTTATAATACGAAACAGCCCTACAATATCTTCATTTAAAACTTTCTTAAACAAGGACAGAAAATATACACCAACATACTTTTATACAGGTAGTCGTAAACTACAGGTCATTCACACTCGGCTTCGAACGAACTGCAGCGCATTAAATCACCACCTGTTTTTGAAAAACATTTCTCTTACCCCTTTGTGTAATTGTGGGCAAATTGAAACTACCCAACATTTCTTTTTCGAGTGCTGTGCATACGATGCCGTCCGCAGAACACTCCTCCTTAACTTGCAAGACTTCAGCATAAACCTTCATAAACTTCTCTATGGTGACCCATCTCTTACATACCAGGACAACGTTATTATATTTACAAATGTACAAAATTATATAGAAAAAACGAAAAGATTTACTTAGATCCATTCTAATTGAGACTATAATCCTCTCTCACCCTTTTTCTTCTCTTTTCCATTATTTTGTTTTCTTCTTTTATATATATTCTTACATTTTAGACATCTACTTGTAGTTAATCTATTCTATAAAAGTTTATATATAAATATATATTTTTATGTGTGTATAATTAATACTTATTCCCTTGTCTAGTATATACTAATTGTAAACTTATTTAAGACAAACCATATAGTTCGCCAAAGGAGAAGAATTCTATAAGACTTGTCTTTCATTCTCATCCTTTTCCATTGTGTAAAAATGTTTTGTTTGTTATATATTTGTATGTACATTATATATACTTTCGGGAATAAATATGTTTAAACTAATTGCAAATGCCGAAAGTAGTCCGCTTTTTTGAAGCGGTTACTTCCCTTTATATGTACGCTAACGCCGAAAAATTCAGGGAGGCCACTGCGTAAAGATGGTCAAATGACAGGCGCATTAATTTTCAAGCAAAAAAGTTTCCGAATGGTCGAATATTTCTAATATTGTTTTATTCTTTATAGATATACATGCTTATAGTAAGCTCCATGATTATTTACATTTGTGTTAAACAACAGTTAGCGCTCGCTTAAGAAGCGAGAGATCTGGAGTTCAAAACCCAGTTAAGGCAACTCAATTTTTTTTTCAATTGTTTAAGTCAAATAAACATTGAATTGAATATCAGTGTTGCAATAAGTCTTATAGCCAATTTACTACAATTCAAACGCTGGAAAGCATTGGTGGCACTATACAAAAACAAATTGGTTTATAATCTCACAACCATCCCCAACAAATGCAGCGCCTTCTGTGCTTTGATTTTTGAGTGCAACAGTAACTGTGATTTTCAGAATTATCAATTTTGTTCATTTAACTGTTTGTTTTTTCTTTTTAAATATTGCATACTATCAATTAATTTACTAATTCAACCAGAAATAAAATAAAGGATAATTATCTCATTTTTATAACCTGATTATCAAATAAATTATAAATATATTCATCTAAAATCTAGTATCTAAAATCTGGTACAAAATCACAGTGGAGAAAAGAAATCACTGTTTCCTATCTTGCGAGCCTATACAATTCAATGTGTACCCTGCCTTACGAGCCTATATACAATTCAATGTGCACCCTATCTTGCGAGCCTATACAATTCAATGTGTACCTTGTCTTGCGAGCCTATACAATTCAATGTGTACCTTGTCTTGCGAGCCTATACAATTCAATGTGTACCCTGTCTTGCGAGCCTATACAATTCAATGTGTACCCTGTCTTGCGAGCCTATACAATTCAATGTGTACCCTGTCTTGCGAGCCTATACAATTCAATGTGTACCCTGTCTTGCGAGCCTATATAATTCAATGTGTACCCTGTCTTGCGAGCCTATACAATTAAATGTGTACCCTGTCTTGCGGCCCTATACAATTCAATGTATATCCTATCTTGCGAGCCTATACAATTCAATGTGTATCCTATCTTGCGAACCTATACAATTCAATGTGTACCCTGTCTTGTGAGCCTATATAATTCAATGTGTACCATGTCTTGTGAGCCTATACCATTCAATGTGTACCATGTCTTGCGAGCCTATACAATTCAATGTGTACCCTGTCTTGCGAGCCTATACAATTCAATGTGTACCCTGTCTTGCGAGCCTATACAATTCAATGTGCACCCTATCTTGCGAGCCTATACAATTCAATGTGTACCTTGTCTTGCGAGCCTATACAATTCAATGTGTACCCTGTCTTACGAGCCTATACAATTCAATGTGTACTCTGTCTTACGAGTCTATACAATTCAATGTGTACTCTGTCTTACGAGCCTATACAATTCAATGTGTACTCTGTCTTACGAGTCTATACAATTCAATGTGTACTCTGTCTTACGAGCCTATACAATTCAATGTGTACTCTGTCTTACGAGCCAATACAATTCAATGTGTACCCTGTCTTACGAGCCAATACAATTCAATGTGTACCATGTCTTGCGAGCCAATACAATTCAATGTGTACCCTGTCTTACGAGCCAATACAATTCAATGTGTACCATGCCTTACGAGTCTATACAATTCAATGTGTACCATGTCTTGCGAGCCAATACAATTCAATGTGTACCATGTCTTACGAGCCAATACAATTCAATGTGTACCATGTCTTGCGAGCCAATACAATTCAATGTGTACCATGTCTTACGAGCCAATACAATTCAATGTGTACTCTGTCTTACGAATAAAAGCACATGCTACTTGTGATTAGGGAGCCTATATATTTTAACTGGTACCTTTCTTGAGATAACAGGAAGTAGACTTGTTTATACACTGTGAAGGCAACAGCCCAGTAAGCTTTTGGTGGAAGGTTCTCTCATCTCTTCGAGACTCTCTTAGCGAAACTCTTTCATGATGTTGTTCGGTATTCGGCAAATGCTAGTGCACTATCTGTCACATTACATAAGTCAACATGTTGCGCTTAATTTCGAAACTGTTAAAAGCAAAAGTTTGTTTGTACCCCCGTATTAGCAGGGAAAACCCAAAATATTCTTAATTTCGGAGTAAGTCTATTAATTAGATGTTGTTTTTTTTCGGCAATCGATGACAAAGCAAACGTTAAAGTCGCTTTGATAAGATGATTTAATATTGCTTCGTCCATACTTGAAAATTTGGAAAGATAAATAGACGGATGTCTTTCATTTAAAACTCAAAGGTTAAGTATCCTTGTTAGGGCGCATTACGGGGAATTTACTCCGACTGATATACATTGTATTAACAACGGTCAAACGTATATTGGCTTCCGTAGACTCCGTATTAATTGGCTGAATTTGGAGGCACCCCAACATTAAAATAATACCGAATATCACATGATCTTGGTCAAGGACGAAGTCTAGACACCGCTGAACCCATTAAACAACAACAACAAAATAAAGAACAAAAAAAAAAACATATGTTTCAAAGCAAAGTCATGACAATGAAAATGCGAGTTGTACTACTTAAACATGTCGTTTCGGAAGACATTATTATATTATCTCGTAAAGTAAAATAATTAATGTAGGGAAAAGAGTCACAATTTATGCATGAGTGGGTCAACACTTTCGTTTTGAATGGCGAAGCATTCATCACCCTGACGAAACTTCCTGTAAAACGTACTCAAGCCATTAAAGATGCATGCCTCCAGATGAACCAAATATTTCAAAAAAATCAAACTTGAGAAAAAGCAAAGATGTTTTTACAAAAGTAAAAAGATTCAAGATAAAAGTAGTAATTTCCATGTTATGTGTGATTAAAAACCGATTTTGCAGTATTTTTCAACATATTTCTATTGCGTTACTAACGCAGATATTTTACTTTTTAATACATTTTCAAAACTTTCATGAAAATTAGCATGAATCCGGAGGCTTTAAATAATATTTTCATTAGTTGATAAAAAAAACAACAACAACAAACGTTTAAAATTACCAATTCGGACTGCTCAAGAGGCAAGGGTCTCTATGAAAAGGCTTGCAAAGAATACAGAAGTTGTAAGTATATATGTAAGGAACTATAAAAGGCCGTGCTAGCCAATGATAGGGCACGAATTTAACTACATTTCACACATACAAAGCAAGCAATGCTTTACATTAGTTTAAATACTTGTCTAACAAACACACATTCTTTCCCTGCAAGTGCCTCGACCAGATTTCAATCAAAAAGGAATGACATCATTTCTTTGCTCTGTATATGAATAATATCCATTTGTTCTTTTTTGAGACCTAAAGAATTAGTTTCCGTATAAGTACTTAAGTTTTGCATGTTGATGGAATTTGCACCCACTTTTCATTATCTAGATGAGTTGTTATGTATTTTGAAGTTAAAATTTATGTCTGAATAATAGGTCAATTTATCTTTTCCGTACATGATCATATTGTATATGCTTTATATAGATCTTACCCATCCGCCCACTTAAAAAGTAATTAGAACTGAAAGTAAAAGTTCACCGAAATGCGCAGTTCTAACTTTTAACATAAATGCGAGATCATTTCTTGTGAAGTAACGGTGATGGAGATGCATGTTTGTGTTTTAATTGTTTTTCTCCTGGGCTTTGGAGTTGATTTTACTACTCAAATCAAAGTAAGTGCATGAAAGTTATATTTTAATTATTCTATGACATATTAGGGAGCATGTTAATGAATGAATTAACTAATTAATTAACGAATGAACAGTCGTTGTTGGTTTTTAGTAACATTATACATGTATGTTTCTTTACTCAGAAAATTGAGCCCGAATTGAGCGAAAAGAAATGCTATATTAAAGAGATTGAATCTTTTTACCGGAATGGCTGCTTTGGAGTAGAAGAGGATGGACACATGGTTAGACATCAAGGGTGGTGTATTGTGGGAGATGATCAGAGGCTCACATGTGTACACGGCCATTGGTCTGGGACTGACAGTTCCGTTGGTATGAAATGTATTGTATTTTGATAAAGGACACAAAGGATGATAAATATAATGTTAAATGCTTATTCTTTTATAATCGAAACACACAAAATAATTATACTGCTGGAAAACAATTTCTATAAATTATTTTTTTATCATAATGTTCTTCAAAATTGGCTCATTTTTTTATTTCTCCGAAGTATAACAATTGTTGAATTATATCAATATTATGTTTGAATGTTTATTGTTTATAATTTATTATCTAAATATAGCTACAATCTCATTAATTAGTCCAAACAGTAGTCAACAGAACTTTTTATAGAATCATATTCACTGGGTGTAGTATCATATTCACTGGCTGAAGCCCTCGGGGCCATTATTCATTTTGCGGGCCGATTATCACCTTCCGGCCCTACTCTGTCGTGTATTAATCTCTTATTATTGTTGCGTTTTGTTCTTTATTGAATATTTCTCGATTAAAATATCATTACGTTACTATCTTAGTTAAAAGGTTCACCGCAATGAAGAGTAAAAACTTTAAAAAATTACTTTTGTATGCGCAACGTTCACGTAGTTGTGGGTCTTTTTCCCGCGCTTCAACGAAACAGGCATATAAAGTTGTACTTTCTGTGATTTTTTTTTAAATTCTTATTGCCTACTCATATAATGAAACAATTATTGACTGGTGTACCATTGAATATGATGTGATATTCACCGGCATAAAGTCATATTGACCGAGGCTATAGGTATCGCCTCGGTTAATATGACTTTCTGCCGGTGGATATCGCATCATATTCAATGGCACACTAGTCAATTATTGTATAATAATAAACATTGGCATGTACCTTTATCTGCAAAATTTAAGAAAGAAAAAAGTCATTGAAATATTGCATTTTATCTGCAGAATTGTTACAAAGGAATAAGCGGTTTTGGTCAGTTATCGGTGGGGCAATAGTAACTTGCATAATATTTTGTAAGTAGAAATAAAAAAAAACAATTTTTGTTTTCATTTACATTCATGGTTTGAAATACATTGTCACTTAGATATAAGAATATATGTTAAGAATGTTTAAAACACTGTCGCTGAGAAGCGAATGTTCTAGATTATATAACTGGAGTAGAGAGCCATTACGGTTTACCATTGTCACTAAAATAGCACTAACATTGCACTTTGGGGTCACAAGTACTTTGGGGGTCAAACTCGAGAAACGAACTCCAAAGTGCGTTAATATGTTACATACTAGTATATCAAAGCAGTTTAGTGACATACCTTACATGTAGTCCCTTACAATGGTGTTATTTTAATTTATTCTAGTAACCTGGCTAGCAAATAAAAAATGCACCGCTATTGTTTCAAATATTTTCATGCCCTGTAATTTAAATATTGCTGTTTAACTAATTGAAGATTAAACTTTCAGACTTCGTGTAAAACTTAATAAAAGAATGAATTAATGGAAACATAAACACATGTTTAATATAGTCGGGGTATGATTTAGCAGAATGGTTGTGAAGTTTGAATGTACTTATCAAATAGGTGGCAAAAGAAGCGGAGGCCGAACACCTATCAAATACCGGCCTTCATTTCCTAGACCATGCACACCAAAGGACATCAAGGGTAACTATAATGTTGGTGCTGGCGAGAACAGTGTTGTTGTTAGATGGACCGTACCGTCAGCCACGGATAGAAACGGAGGAACTCCAAGGTAGGTTACATAATTAGACTATGTTCTCATAACTTTTGTTTAAAATTATATGTTTAAAGACCCATTATGCTCTAGAAACTCTAGAAACACTGTTATTTTTATTTCTAAAATTTACACACGGACCATTTACCTGAACACGACCTGTTACCTTTTGGAAATTAATAAAGTTAAAGTGATTTATAATTTTGTATGGTACTCAAAATACTACTTTGTTTACATTTCACCATGATTTCACATTGTTGCTTTCTTTTCCAGCTATTTTTTAAATAATTTTCTTTCTTTTAACATTTGAAAAGTGTCATCCTCATTCATTATATTGATTGCCTGGATTGTAAATTATATATACATGTACATGTATTATATAATATCGAATGTATTAAAGTGTAACAATTAAAAATCATATATGTGTGTGTGTGTGCGTGTGTGCGTGCGTGCGTGCGTGTGTGTGCGTGCGTGCGTGCGTGATTTTTAATTGTCTCATATTTCAGAGTGATACAAGTTGATGGTGGTATAAATGGTGGTCGGTTTCATGGAACTACCTATGGAAAGGTCCATCATATCAAATATAAAGCTACAGATTCAGACGGCATGTCTACATATTGTGACTTTTCATTCTCGGTCACTGGTAGGTACCAAAGTTACAAGAAATACATTGTTAGTTTTTTTCTATTAATACCATAAAATCAGCAGTTTTTTTCAACCATGTACACATTTCTGTATGCATAACATTACGTTTTTCAAACATTTTTTGCTAACGTATAGTTTGTTAACATGTAAGTGTGATTTGATCAAATGGGGTCCCTGTAGTTCCATTAGGAAATAAACTACTTCCATTGCTTAGAACTGGTTGATTTCAGAGCGGATTTGAGGCTGCGTCTATAAGCATATACTTTCATTTACAATCGAACTAGATTTTGAATAAAATAAAAAAAAGGTTCGGATTAGACCGATTAGACTATAAGGGACTAATATATTTAGAACATCCTTAAAATTTAAAGTTCGGAACAGTCTTTAAATAAGCAAGAAAATGTAAGATACTTCTGTGTCCGTATTAAATATGTTGTTTTGTCACAGAATACCTTCAGATTTCATTAACAGTTAAATGTATTGTAGTGGGAAAGGTCTTGAATTGCTGTTTACCTCAAACCAATCCAGCGATGGTAAAAGAAAAGAAAATAAGTAGAGAATAGGAAGAACTATATATACCATGATGTTTAAATATTTTCTTTATGCCAGTGCTGACCTGTAATCTCCTACCATGGCCTGCTAATGGCGCCAGAAAGTGTGACAATAGCAATATTCTTGGAAGCACGTGTCACTATACATGCAACAATGGATACAAACTGACCGGAACTAGTAAAGTTACGTGTGAAAATGCTGTGTCGCCATCATGGTCTGCCATCCCAACTTGTGACAGTAAGTAAAGATGGGAGAGGGAAATGAATGTTTTCTTCGCATGTCCCTGCTTTTACGTTTTGGAGGTATCAATTACGATACGAACAGAGAAAATTATACAGTGAAAGTTCTATATTTCTAAATATATTAGTCTTTCATACTGTGTTTTTATTGGCATGCGATGTAATAGCGCTGATAATAAAATACAAAACGTTTTACACAATTAAAAGAAGGGATGTAGATAAATGTTTTGTCTTTGCACTCTTTTGTCGTCAATTGAGAGCCTAGGTTTAAAATTTTTATGCCCCCACAAAGTGGGGTGCATATAGCGTTGCACTTGTCCGTCCGTCCGTTCGTCAGTCCGTCCGTACGTCCCGAAATCTTGTGAACGCAACTCCTCTTGAACCGGATGGCAGATTTTGCTTAAACTTACAGGGATGAACAACCTTAATGTGTAGATGGAAGTAAAGGAAGGAATTTTTGCTGCGACCAAATTTAAAAGAATTATGGCCCTTTGTTGATTTTTTTCACTATATACTATGTAGAAATTTTGTGAACGCAACTCCTCTTAAACCGGATGGCAGATTTTGCTTAAACTTCCAGGGATGAACAACCTTAATGTGTAGATGGAAGTAAAGGAAGGAATTTTTGCTGCGACCAAATTTAATAGAATTATGGCCCTTTGTTGATTTTTTTCACTATATACTATGTAGAAATTTTGTGAACGCAACTCCTCTTAAACCGTATGGCAGATTTTGCTTAAACTTCCAGGGATTAACAACCTTAATGAGTAGATGGTACTAAAGGAAGGAATTTTTGCTGCGACCAAATTTAACAGAATTATGGCCCTTTGATGATTTTTTTTCACTGTATACCATATAGAAATTTTGTGAACGCAACTCCTCTTAAACCGGATGGCAGATTTTGCTTTAACTTCCAGGGATGAAAACCTTAATGTGTAGATGGAAGTAAAGGAAGGAATTTTTGCTGCGACCAAATTTAATTGAATTATGGCCCTTTGTTGAATTTTTCACTATATAGCATATATATGTTGTCAGTGGGGGGCATCCGTGTCCTTTGGACACAGTTCTAGTCTGACATTGTGTTTCGCACAAATCGATCTTATTAGCATTTATCTCATACCCGTCCGTGAAAACGGTATGGACGACCGTGCATATATCAATTAGCGTCTGTTTTAATCGTTTTTGTCGTAGACATGCATCGTGTATATTCAAATAGAAACGACATTACTACAGGAAGTAACGACCTATCTTCTTATAAAGGTATTCCAGAAATAACTTGACGCTTGAAATAGTGGTAATAATAAAATAACGTTTTGTTAAAGAAATATAATTATAGATGTTATATATCTAAATTACCGTATTATATCTCACGTGATTAATTTACTAAATATTGCATTATGTGCCATCAAAATGTAACAATCCAGCGCATACCTGGTGCCTGGTATTATTTATATACTATAAACCACAATGGTCTGTATGGATAAGAAAAAAAACCCATATATTTTACAACATAGTGATTTTCACTCAATTTTACAATGTGGAACTGAGTGAACTTTATACTACTTATTTGTTTGGTTTTTATAGAAATGACTTGCAGTGAACCGAAATACCCATCACATTCTACAGTCATGTGTTCGGACTCTAACTACGGCTATCAATCAATTTGTATATTCAAGTGTGATAGTGGATACGCGTTGAAAGGGGCCAGACATATTCAGTGCCAGGCAGACGGAAAATGGTCGAACTATGAAGCCTCATCATGTATCGGTAAATTGCCATGATAAAGAACTTTTTATGTTTTATTCGTTGTTATTAAATGAATATGAATGTCATAAATCATTTAAGAAATGACTTGGATCCAGAATATTCGTTTAGCATATTCATAAATTACTTTATTTCTAATTTATCTTAGATGACACTCCGCCGACCATCTCCTGTGTAACTCCGCAGATATTTTATGCTGACCGAGGTGTTACAATGGGACAATGGGATCAGTTCTAGAGGTGGGAACTGAAATTGTAAAATATAAGGCAGTTGATGTAGATGGAAGTGAATCTCAAGAATGTTTTATCCAGCTCCGTATTGAAGGTATTTTATAAACTACCGACATATTGACATGTGATCTCGTGCTTGTATCATAGTTTGGGGATCTTTCTGTTGAAAATGTGTCAGAGTTAAATCCTACAGTGCGTTAACTGGAGTGCAGGTATTAGTTACCCGCACTCCCAGACTCCAGAACATGCCCATTGATTGGCTCAATTTTTCTGAAGTTTGATTATTGTGACGGTAGAGACAGGGAAAGCGATAGAAATATCATATTAAGATGCTCGTTCATTGGTTACTTTTTTTCTTGGGTTTCATATTTTGACAACAGGGAATGTGTTATTTTTAACTATGATACAAAAGAGACACTCGACATCTGATTTATACTTGGGGGCTACGCCACCTCGTACAAATCAGATAGTCTCGTGTTTCTATGCTCTTTCTATTACTTATACAATGATTTTATATAATCATTTGATAAATTAATTACAATATACTTACTTTTACTGTATCGGATATTTACAAGCAATAAAACAGTACGATATCAATTCTGGGACTAACTCATTTGACGTTCCAGATACCAGATTGGTCGTAATAACATAATAATACCATGTAATAATAATAATAATAATTTTTTTTTTTATTTACCTTTACTTTAAAAAGACTTAAGGTTTTCTTATTGACTGATATTGTGCCGATATGTAATAACATTTTGGTTGAATTGTTAATGAAATGTCCTACGAAATTATAACAATAAACTACTTTATTTTCTGATTGGCTTTCACATGTTAAATGTTCAAAAGTTCCGCATTTAAAAATTCTCAATGTTACAGAAATAACTTGCGGGCATCCGTTAGAGAGTTTTACTGATGACTACATGAGATTCAACTGTTCTACACCAAAGTCCGGATATGTTTACGGTGCGTCTTGTCTACTTTCTTGTATCGCACACCTGCCACTAGAGGGCCGTGATCTGATCACGTGCGAGGACAATGGCCAATCAGAAGGTGTTTGGAGATGGGGATCTGGAGGAAAGCCATTTTGTAGAGGTAGTGTTTAAAAACAAGACAATAGAACGGTACATAATAGCTAACAGCCACAACAAAAACAAAATAAAGAAATCTTTTTGTTCACTTGACCTCGACGTTCTTGTACATCCATACAAGGCGTTGATTGTCATCACATGAAATTCATCGCTGAATCAATAGTGTTTTCGATTTTTTCCCCATAGTTTGTATACTTTTCCCAGTAATTGTGAGCAGATTTCTTTTTGAAGTTATTTTGAAACAACTTTAAATATGAATGTTTGTAGACATACTATATTGGTAAATAGGTTCATTTACTGCAGGCAAAACTGTTGAACCCAACCTTAGATTTATTATATTGAATTTGCACACCCCAATCGTATATTGCAGTCAACCGACTAAAGAAATACATGTAAATTGCAGTAAAACCATCATACGTTGTTTTTTTATTGATTATGAAGGGTAGTAAATTGAACATAAGTTACTATTCCTATATTTTTTACATTTATATATTTTTTCATAATTATGTATCTTACATTTTATCTATCACCAGTTACTGTTGTAGGATGTCATTAAATCTAAGAATTAATCTATTTTAAACTATGAAATAAAATGTGGATTTATATGTGCGGACCTTATGGTTAGTAGACAAGGACACTTTAATTTACTTATTCTTCATAGATGTATCTCATTTCTTATTTTATGAAATTAAATGAATAAAATCTTTATTATTTCTATTTTCAGAAATTGCTTGCCCTGAACTAGATGGACCAATAAACGGCGCCCTTACCCATGATTCATTATTAACACGCCCATTACGTATCATGATGTGTAATGACCAATTCGATATACCGGACATGGGCACACATTTTCACGGTTATTTTTTATGCACCGACAATGGCAAATGGATGCCATTTTCGTCAGTGCCAGATTGTATAGGTATATAGATATAAATTAAGCTGGTAAGAGTTGTCAAACTAAATGGTTAACTTAATATTTATATGTAAGATTCGGAACCTCTGTATAACGTCTGTCGTATTTTCTGTTATTATGCCGGTAAGAGCAGACTCTAATATTGTATTAATAAATCTAAAACCATGAGTTTAGCTCGAATATATAAAAAAAATGCTCAAATAAGCTTGAAAGGCGTCAATTCATATGAACAAGAGACAACCGGGGTCGTCCGAGGTTATAAAGGCATAAACAATAAACATAAACTTAGATTGGTCAAAAACCTACAGAATTGTAATTAAATAGATATCTCAATTTTTGAGAAATAATTACCCGGTATGTCCCCACTATTTAAAAACTGATTATATTTCTGCGTTGATGTCGAATAAAGTACATGTACTATCTGTATTTAAATACATGAGTATGGGTCAATTGAAATATTAGTTATGTCTCCCAAAATTTTTGGGAGACATATTGTTTTTGCCTTCGCCGTCTGTCTGTCTATCCGCCCGTCCGTATTGTCCGGTCTTCACAGGTCAAACTACAAGTGGGATTTCAACCAAACTTTGCAGGAGTGATCAGTACTATCCCTAGTTGTGCACATCGCCGGCACGTTCCGCTTTGCTGCACAAAATGGTTACCAGAGCTAAAAATAAAAAACTTGTCCGGGCTTCACAGGTCAAACTACTAGTGGGATTTCAATCAAACTTTACAGAAGTGATCAGTACCATCCTTAGCACATCGCCGGCATGTTCCGCTTCGCTGCACAAAATGGCTGCCAGAGCTAGAAATAGAAAAATATTGTCCGGCTTTTACTGGTCAAACTACTGGTGGGATTTCAACTTCACATGAGTGATGGATTTCAACTTCACATGAGGGATCAATACTATCCCTAGTTATGCACATCGCCAGCACATTTGTTTCGCTGTATAAAATAGTTGCCAGAGCTTTTAATAGAACAATCTTGTCAGGCTTTCACAGACAGAACTGCTGGTTGGATTTCAATGAAACTTTACATGAGTGAACAGTACCATCACTAGTTGTGCACATTGGCGGCACGTCCCGCTTCGCTGCACAAAATGGCCGCCAGAGCTTAAAAAGAAAAAAACTATAACAGGTCAGACTTCTGGCGGAATTTCCACCAAAATTCACAGGAGTGATCAGAACCATCCATAGTTTTGGGAGCCATTTGTTTTTGTGACAAAAACCCTTCTAGTTAAGAAAATGGTCTTGCATGCGTAACGATGATGTTACTGAAATCTACAGGCTTGTCATATTTTTCCGATGAAAATATAAATGCTCTCACAAATATTAGATACAATACTGTAATATGACTGCTCTTTTTGATCAGATTTAATATTGGACGAAGTGAAATACTACCAGCATTATTTTAAAAAAAAAAAACGTTTGGATGTTATAATTTTATTCAGTTACTGCCATTTAATTTTTCAGTACCACGAGATCCAACATATGTAAAATTACCGGCTGAGATATTTTACTATGGCGGGAAATGCGGTGAAAATGATACAATTGCACAAATAAAAGAGAATTTCCAGACTATTCTTGAAATACATTTGAACCCGTTGCTCGCGCCCGTTTGTCCGTCTGGGGCAGTTTGTATTGCGGAACATATCAAGGTCACGTGCGGACCAGTACAGAATCGCAGGAAGAGATATCTATCACTAGGAACATTGAGCCGCCGTTCTCAAGAAAATGAAGGTAATGGAACAGTCATTATTTCCGGTCTGTTATGTATAATTAATTATACTTGTGCATTACTAAATATATTGAACTCGTTGAATAAAGTAAAATGTCGCTAACCATTATGTTTTTCAGATGCACGCATAATATGATTTTATTCACCTCTTTCAATAATATTAGAACTGAACTTACACTCATTGCCTGGCCTTTTTATATTTTCAGCATCAACAAAAGAACATCGCAATGAGACGCTTGACGCCGAGAACCATTTGCTTGTAGTTGAATTTCATATCAAAATGCATATAAACACTAGTACTTCAAAGCTTAAAGACACTTTAAAAACATTGGATGACGTGCGTGTCAATATTTTGCAGCCAACAGTCCAAGATCTAATCAACAATGGAACATTCGACATAAACAATTTCACGTTAACGAATGCTTCATTTGTGACTTCAAATAATTGGGAAATTACATGTGATTCTGGTCATATACTGGACCAATCAATATGCAGTAAGAAAAATTAACCTAGCTTTATTGTGTAAATAATTTCTCGTAAATGACATTTTTTGGCAGTATTCTATTACTAATGAAACGAGGTCAACCTGGTCTATTTAAATAATTAGATCAATAGAAAGATTTATTGAATTCAGGTTTTGTAAGGTGATAATTTGACGTCTTTAAGGTATATCATGCCACATCCTGTCAACAACATAAAATGTGATCTGAAGACACTTTCAACATGTCATAACTTATCGGATATAAACAAATGTTTTATATTGTAACATAACATATCGAATATCTATCCATTTTACAGAACCATGTCCGATTGGTTACTTTCTTAACGAAACAAGTGATAAGTGTGACCAATGCCCAGCTGGTCAGTACAAGGACATAGAGAGTGAGAGCACATGCTCGATATGTCCAAGCGGGTTCACAACACTAGGATCTGGGTCCAAATCTAGATTGGACTGTGTCAGTAAGTACTTGTCTGTATGTATATATATATGTGTGGTTTAATAAAAAAGCTATACTCTACTCAACCAAAAAAGAAACCTGACAATTTTAATGTTGCAATATCTTTTTAACATGGGCATCTAATAAAAACATATTTATCTCACATCTGTAGATTTTCGATACACAATATGTGTGTAAACACAAGCTAGCTTGATTCTAACCGAAATTGGGTAGTCTTCAAATAGCCGTATTGGTATGTGGCGCCCGTGCTCAATGAATGGAACGCAACAGAATGTGAACAAAAGCGCTATACATTCACCAAGTGATTACACAGTATAAATCACCATTGACATTTGATGATTACAAAATGCCACGTTTATCAGAGGCCGAAATAAATCGGGCTATCGGTATGCTTCAAGCTGCCGTATGTGCCGTTGACGTTAGCAGGACATTTAACTGCAGTCGCAACACAGTGCATGAGCTTGTCAGGCGCTTTAGGCGGACAGGTGATGTGCATGATCGTCCTAGGTCAGGTAGACCAAGAGCAACTAGCCAACGGGACGATCGGTAATCGTTTTGACGCACTTACGTCACAAATTCCAACCTATAGACGAGACTGGAACAGATTCTTGATTTCAGATGAATCTAAATTCAACTTGAGTAACGCTGATGGTCGTCAACGTGTCTATTGTAGACAAGGTGAAAGATTTACTCCTGTCTGTGTCAGAGCACTTATTCGTTTCGGGGTTAGGGGGGAGGGGGAGTTATGATTTGGGGTGGTATTATGGGGACTCTTAGTCATTCGAGGCAACTTAAATGCCCAAAGGTATATAAATGAAGTTTTGAATTCCTTTCATGCAAAGGAATGCTTCAGTTGTGTTTCAGCAGGACAATGCACGCCCGCATGTTACAAGGATCACACAAGCTCGCCTTGCAGCGGCTAACGTAAACGCCATGCATTGGCCGGCATATTCTCCGGACATGAATCCAGTGGAGCACATTTTTGACGAACTGGGGAGACGTGATCGTCGTCGTCATGCACCTCGCACTGTAAACGAGCGAGCAAATGCCCTTGTCAGAGAGTGGAACAACTCCCTAATCTGCTTCGTAAACTCGATGAGAAGACGTATTGAAGCACTCATTAGAGCCAGAGGTGGTCAAAGGTGGTACTAGGGTGCATTAGAACTTCGATTACCAGACAAACTCGATTGAAATTTCAAGTTATTACTACTGAAAAGCAACATAATGGCAAAAGCTTTAATATGCCAAAATCAGTTTTGACCCCTACATTACATTCGACGTCATTTAACATTTTGACGCGTGCACTATTTAAATCACATTGCATAAGTTCTTCAGCAAGGCATTGCACTATAATATCCTATCTTGGTTTGACTCATATGTTCAGAAATTTGATAAATAACATATTGTCAGTTTTCTTTTTTGGTTATATATTTTCAGTGTTTGTCATTTTATGAACAACAGCATTTTTCGATTCAGCAAAGATTACTTTTCGGCCAATGTCTTCTTAGTTACTTCTTTTCATTCAAATTGCACACTGACATTGAATGGTCTCCTTTATAGCAACTGTTTGGTTGTGGTATGCATGTAGTACTGTCTCTGATGTCATATAGCCTTCCTCCTTTTCTTTCAGAACAATGCAGACCGGGAACATATTCCCCCAATACTGTCGAGACATGTTCCACGTGTCCCCTCGGTTACTATCAAGATCAATACGGGCAGACGACATGTAAACAATGTCCTTTTGGTACAACAACTGTGTCGACAAACAGTTCGTCTGCTGATGATTGCAAAAGTATTATTTTAGTTGTTTTATTTTGATAGATTTAAGCATTAAACTTTGTACCCTCCTTTAATTATTCTTTATTAATATAATTATTCTTTCTCTAATATGACACCCCCTAAATTATACTCAACAATTATACGGTAATGGCATATTTCCATGAAACCAGTATTAAATTTGGTTAAAATTGACATATTTTAGTCATACACCTAAACAAGAATGCTTTTTTGCAAGATATCCTAAATCTGTAGATTTTACGTAAAACAGAACAACATTTACCCATTTCTGCAAAAGTTAAACTAGTTCGTTAAAATGTAAGCATACGTCTGAAACAATCATCATTTTCTAAATGTTCTTATTTGTTAAAAAATGAATTTTGAGTTACAAAGTTCAGATAGTTTTAATATTTAAAATTGAGCAATATAACATTTAGTAAGTTTAACATAACTGAAAGATGAAAAACATAGAGTGTAGCACCATTTATCGAAATTTTATTTGCTGTACTGTTGCCATTATTTTAGATCTACTCTTTCCTTAATTTTTGCAGTCCATATATTATAATGGAAATGGCCTAGTGATTGTCTAAAGTTCTAAACGGACATGAAGCAACTTAGAAACACTGTTTTGTCTCAATTTGTATTTTGTTGAAATGACATTTATTTTAATTCTGATAAATGTTAAATATTAATTTATTAAACCGTGTTTTTTAAAAAGAATTTATACCTTACCAAATTGATTGAAAAACATATTAAAACAACATAAAAAGAATCAAAGCTTCAATAATGTGGAAAAATAAATAAGAAAAAACCTGGACCTACGCGTTCTCGATCTTACAATACGTAGAACATTTAGAAATTATAAGCCGAAAGTTTACTCTATTACGCTCAGCAGACAAAAAAATTATATTAAAATCACAATCTCAAATCTATCAAGGATTAATGTATTGTGTGTGTTGGTCGTATATATGTAATCATGCAATGGACTGGTTCATAAAATCAAAAATGTATAATTATGTATTGTAAAAAATGATAATGTGCCATTACAACAAGATCAAACTTGTGTCGTTTTCTTTTCTTTCCAGCATATGACGCATGTATGTCGTCACCATGTAACGGAAATAACTGTACCAATATTGACGACAGTTATATATGTACTTGTCATGGAGGTTGGTCGGGTACAAATTGTACGACGCCGCCGGATTATTGTGTAGACAACGCATGTGAAAATGGCGCCACTTGTATAAGTGGAAGTACAAATTACACATGTAATTGTGTCCTCGGATACAGTGGACTGTTCTGTGAAATTCCTCAATGTGAGTTTTATATGTGAATACTCTCACAAATAACCCCTCAAAACTTGTCGTAAATTGATGCTTATCTAAAATCTAAATTTTGCAGTTATCTAAATACTAGGAGTGTTCAAATATGAATGCATTTACGTTCACAGGCAAAAGTATCGGACCTGGGAAAAAAAATATGACCAGGTTGATAAAAAAAAAACCTGTGTTCATCTTAAAAGTGTCAAAAAAAACAAAAAAAAATGTATATAATGACCCCCTTTAAAAATATACTATAAGTTAAGAGTATATATACTTAACTTATAGTATATTTTTAAAGGGGGTCATAATATACATTTTTTTTTGTTTTTTTTTTTTGACACTTTTAAGATGAACACAGGTTTTTTTTATCAACCTGGTCATATTTTTTTTGCCAGGTCCGATACTTTTGCCTGTGTTTACGTTATGTCGCAGTCCACTCTTACGATATGGGAAAGGTGCTGCTAAGAGGTTCTGGGCTTGAGGGTTGCTATAAAAATACAGAAATACGCTCTCAGAAAATATTTATTATCAATGAATACGAAGTCTGGCTCGCGCCATGAAAATCTTCAGTAGGAGTGCAAAGACAAAATAATGACAAATGACACAAAATCATGAATGGCAAAATGTAGAATAACAAGTATGGGATCAATACAGACATTCATATTTACCTATAAAAATACAGAAATACGCTCTCAGAAAATATTTATTATCAATGAATACGAAGTCTGGCTCGCGCCATGAAAATCTTCAGTAGGAGTGCGCATGCGTGAAGGTACTTAGTGCGGAAATAGAATATTTAAGATTGAGGCCCGTACCAATGGTTAGTACATACTTGTTAATAAATGAATGAATGAAGAAATGAATGAATGAGTAAATGAATAAAAGGATGAATGTATGGAATATAGGAAAAGGACACAAATATAGGACTTCACATAATCTACGGTGTACAATACGGGACATACATTTACATTATAACATCTAACATTAATACATCAATATGACCCTGCGACAGTTATAATGTTCAATTTTAGACACACACAAAAAAAAAGATGAAAGATATCAGGAAATGAAAGATATCTGTTACACGCCTACTAAACAGTGGCTCTTTCACATTTTGGTGATCTGTTTAAACGAGAGCCCTCGACACATCCGTTGTAGAGCCATTGACCAAAACAAAGCAGAAACAGGTAAACACAGTTTCTAAATATATCCGCTTTTTTTAAAATATGCTTGTTTTTCAAAAATCGAAGAATGCTATGCCACGTAGAACATTTTCCTCGTCAGTTTGCATTTAATTTCGATACGAAATACCCAAAAATGACGTTTCCAGAACTTTTACAAAATATTAACTTTCGTGTTTTCTGTTACGTTGAGACACATTTTTAGTGATTTCTTTACCGTAAAGTAAGTGTCTGCCCAATTTATCATGAATGAAACATGACCCCAACCTACCCTTTAGCTCAACACAAAAACTATATTTCAAAGAACTTGGTTAAAAATAAAATATTTTCATTTGTTCAAATGTGATCGAGTCATCGACAGAGTGCTGGCGCCATCGGCAATGTGAAAGAGCTCTCGAAAATGTGATGGAGCCAATACAAGCATATCCACGATCATGCTATCAAGTTTTTTCACAGTCGAATTGGGATGAAAAATTAGCCAAAAAAAAGAGGATCCTTTTTTAATTTTGTATAATACTAGTAATAAGAATACCCAAAACCGGCGAAATATAATACATTGTATACATTATAGCACATAGTAAATTAGTAAGTAAGATTCAGCAAATAATATGAAAAAATAATGTTCATTTTAATGTTTTCTTAAGTGTAGAATGTTAAATTTGCAAACAATGGTGTCTTTGATCAAGATTATTTGATTTGCTTTTTCAAAATTGGTCCTTGTGTACACATTCTTTTATTGGTTTTCGCCGGTGTCCTGTGCCGAAGATTTATACTTGATTTAATGTTCATTGTTTTTGTAGTAATATCAGCTGATTAGCTAGTTTATAATATATGCACATTGCGCATGCTCAATAACATGTCTAGCCAGTTCCTCGATGTTAGGGATTTTAGGAGAATAAATTTACATCTTGTAGAGTATGCACGTGTTTGTGTTATATCACTATTTTAAGAAGTCTACTTGATTAATATAATTAACTCTTACCAACAAAACAGTTTTGACACTAACTTTTAAATAGTGTTGCATTGCTTTTGCGAAATGTACTTCGTGCTAAACGCCACACTTTAACATTTCATGAATACAAGTCTTTATAAACTGTATAAATTTTGTATATTGATGAATATTAATCGCCATATTCCACAATGTCGACACTAATTATGTGCTTGTATTGGCTCCATCACATTTGTGAGAGCTCTTTCACATTGCCGATGGCTCCAGCACCGTGTGTTGAGTCAAAGGTGAGGTAGGCACTATATGTTACATCCAATATTATGTGGATCAACATTAACTTTATAGTAGAGAAATCACTCAAGATGTGTCTGCTCGCGAAAGAAAACACACGAGTTGATAATGGGTAGAAGTTCTAGCAACGTCATTTTGGGGATTTTCGTATCGAAATTGCATCCAAAATGATGAGAAAAATATTGTTCGTGGCATAGCATTCTTCGATTTTTGAAGAACAAGCATGTTCTTTTAAATCTGATTTTTTTAGAAACTGTGTTTACTTTTTGCAGCTTTGTTTTGGTTGATGGCTCTACAACGGAAGTGTCGAGGGCTCTCATTTAAACAGATCACCAAAATGTGAAAGAACCGTTGTTTAGTAGGCGTGGGTTAGATGTACACGTTTGCCTTACATTCATACCACAATAAGTAAATCCGTCCACTTAGCTTTGTGTATAGCTCGCGATTATGCAAAAATTGTTGGTTGATAGGAGATCAGAGAATGCCATTTAAATACCTTATATTAAGAATTAAAGTCATCTTGGCATAGGGTGTAAAGAAGTGTGTGCGTGCGTGCGTGTGTGTGTGTGTGTGTATGCGCGCGCGCGCGCGCGTGTGTGTTATGTTATGTTATGCCAACTGATATCTGTCAATCATTATTCCCTATACAGTGGATAAATTAGATGGGGGCTGGTCAGAATGGGTGGTATCAGCATGTTCAAAGACTTGTGGAGCAGGAAGTATGAATAGAACAAGACAGTGTAATAGTCCAGTCCCAGGTACAAACGGTTCTGATTGTGCTGGTGACGCTACAGAAACTATAGCTTGTAATATGGACGCTTGCCCTGGTGAGATTTTCTCAACGTTAAAAACATAAATATTTATTAATTAAAATTTTTTTTATTATTATTATTATTATTTAATTTTAGCCAGGACGAAAAAGATTTGCCGCATTAACTATAGCATGGCTTAATGCCATTTCAGACAATTTTTTGAGTAAAATTACATTTTTAAGAAAGCATGATAACAGATTAACTGAGCTGTATAGTTAATTAGTGTTTGAATTTTTTTTCGTCCAATAGAATTGTTGTATTTCAAATGAATCATTACACATTTACTTTGTTAAATCGGCTAAATTTTCATCTGTCTAGTAAATCGACAGTTTTATAAAAATAATTCCAAAAACTAAATTGGTTAGTGTTTATAAGTAAGCATTAACCTTCTAATTTTATTTTGTAAATGTTTGCTAATAAACTTAAAACTGTCTTCGGAACGTTGAGAACTATGATATGCAGACAATAGATTTGACTGTTTAACTGTTTTGATGTTTTATTCTTAACAACAGTGTGTAAAGAACTCAGGAACACATCCGGGACCGTGCTGGACTGTACTACAGACGAAGCAACCGGAAGTAAGACTTGCACGATATATTGCGAGGATGGTAAAGTGCTCCCACCAGGATTAATAGATGAGGAGTCATTTACTTGTGGTCCTAGCACTAACTACGAATGGGGCTATTTGGAAAATGCTCCTAGTTGTGTCGGTTAGTTAAAATTATTTTGTTGTTGTCGTGTTGCTGTTGTTTTTTGTTTTGTTGATGTTGTTGTTGTTGCCTTGTTTGCTTGTTAGTTTTTTGTTGGTTTTTTGTGTTGTTGTTTTTCATTATGTGTGTAGTAAAAACTTAACAAACTTAACATCTTGAAACATCTTCTAATGAGTGTCTTTTAAGTTTGTTCAAATAAAAGCCTTGGGGTTTAAACTGGCCCCGCTCCAGGGGCCTTTATACAGGTGAGCGACCTCAGGGCCATCATGGCCCTCTTGTTTGACTCTTATACTGGTAAATTCATGGAATTAGACTCTGAAGTTAATCATGTAAATTGTAAAAAAAATGTTTAAATGAAGAAGTTTAAAAACTTCTGTAGATAAATCTGTTGCAAATTAAAGGCACAAAAAGCCTCAAAAACAGAACAAGAAAGAGAAATACGAAATTTAACTGTTTCAGAGCATGTTAGATTCTTTTCACTTGAAGAAAGGAGCACTGAATTTGAAATTGTTCAAAAAAAAGCAGTAAAATATAAGCAAAGTAGTATTTTGACATCCATACAAAATACTAAATCACTATGACTGTACTAATTGCCAAATGGCAAAGGAAGCAAACAGTGGTTTAGGTACTTGGCCAACTAGTAACTTTTTGGAAACAATAACGTAAGATCAAAAATAAAAAGCTTTGGGGAAATAAAAACTAAAGAGTTTCTGGGGCATAGTGGGCCTTTAAGTATCCGAGTATTTTAAACTTCAGCTAAAAAATCATAAAATAATTCTTACATAAATGATTTACTCCTGATTAAATCAACATTTATTTATTTGTAGACCCTATCAGCCCAGGCAGCATTAACATTACTGTGACAATAGAGTATGTGATTGAGATACCTGACAGTGTGGCGTCACGTTTTGTGAACTTGATAAACGAGCAGATATTAACAGTACCATGTTTTGATTCCATCAGTTGTCATACACATATAGAGATAGCCAAGTCAGACATGACGATTGTTTTTAGTATTCCTATATCTCGGGGAACAGACATAGAGTACAGTGGCTCCATACTAAGCGGAATACGTAAGTACTTATATGGTAATATCTATGTCATATATGACATAGATATTACCATGTCGTTATCTTTTTATCATAACAATACAATATAAAATGAATCGTATGCATGGCAAAAAGAACGCTTTGAATTCTACACAGATGGCCTGTAGTAACTAATTCGAATAGCAGCCAAAAATGTAGGAAGATCACAAAATTTTATTACATAGAGCAAGTCGTGCAATAACTACTTACAAACAGATAAATTCAAAATGTATTCATAATAAAACCTGGAAACAAATTATACATGAGATTAAAGGTAATATTTAAACGGTATAAAAATATACATTTTAGCCATAATTGTACGATTAATTTTCTGACGTTTTTATTCTGGGTATATTTAAAACAGGAGATGGTGTTTTAAAAGAAGCAATTGACGCAATAAACAACCTTGAAAAAACTGCACAGTACATTCAGAATAATACAGATAAGTTGTTTGACGTCATTGTTGACGATGTGACGTACACAGTTAAAGACGGAAGTCTTAAATTTATGGCTGGAGTCATGTGCAATGGTGGATTCGTGCCTTATGGTGGATTTTGCGGTAACATCAGTATAAGAAAAATAGATCTAATAAGATAATTTGTATAAAAATGTTAGCTTTATTTTGAAAATTAATGCAATGTTTTAAAATATATCATGATTAAATTGATAAAATGATAAAACATTTGGTTGAATAAACAAAAAATAAATATTTTTAAGCAGTAATATAGTCCAAAAATTGTTTTATTTAACAAGATATAATTAATTTGCATTTTTTTCATGATTCATGAAGAAATTCAGTAAAATTTATATGATAATATAGTGACATGTCCGGTGGGCACACATTCAATCGATGACGTGTGTACATTTTGTGAAAAGGGACAATACCAGTCTGACGCAGGACAGACGTCATGTATACCATGCCCCAGTGGACAGACGACAAATACAATAGGTTCAACAGATAGCACTCAGTGTATAGGTATACATTATCTCTCAACATAAAGAATGAACTGCGATCTACTTAAAAACCATTAGAATTAGTTTAAACACTATAATACAAATATGATTAACACAAAGGTTATACAAATATGATAAACACAGAGGTTATACAAATATGATAAACTCAGAGGTTATATAAATAGAAGTATGATAAATACAGAGGAAATACAAATATGATAATCTCAGAGGTTATACAAATAATTATGATAATCTCAGAGGTTATACAAATAATTATGATAAACTCAGAGGTTATACAAAAATATGATAAACTCAGAGGTTATACAAATATGATAAACTCAGAGGTTATACAAATATGATAAACTCAGAGGTTATACAAATATGATAAACTCAGAGGTTATACAAATATGATAAACTCAGAGGTTATATAAATATGATAAACTCAGAGGTTATACAAATATGATAAACTCAGAGGTTATACAAATATGATAAACTCAGAGGTTACACAAATATGATAAACTCAGAGGTTACACAAATATGATAAACTCAGAGGTTATATAAATATGATAAACTCAGAGGATACACAAGTATGATAAACTCAGAGGTTACACAGATATGATAAACTCAGAGGTTGCACAAATATGATAAACTCAGAGGTTACACAAGTATGATAAACTCAGAGGTTACACAAATATGATAAACTCAGAGGTTATATAAATATGATAAACTCAGAGGTTACACAAGTATGATAAACTCAGAGGTAACACAAATATGATAAACTCAGAGGTTACACAAATATGATAAACTCAGAGGTTACACAAATATGATAAACTCAGAGGTTACACAAGTATGATAAACTCAGAGGTTATACAAATATATATGATAAACTCAGAGGCTATACAAATATGATAAACTCAGATGTTACACAAATATGATAATCTCAGAGGTTTAACAAATATGATAAACACAGAGGTTAAACAAATATGACAAATGCAGAGGTAATACAAATTTGATAAATGCAAAGGTTATATAAATATGATAAACTCAGAAGTGACAAAAATATGATAGACTCAGAGGTTATACAAATATGATAATCTCTGTCTAGTTACTTTAGCTTAATTGTGATTTTAAGCTTATTTAAACAACACCCTAGTAAGGTTCTATCTCATGATCCCTGGGTAAAAGGTAGATATCTTAGCTATCTGCACCAGGCCATGATCATAATAGCTGACAAACATCGAGTCAATTATCTTGAAACATGCTTATTTTATACGAAGCTAGATCATTTTTGTCTATATTTTTGCAATACAAGTGTTTGTAATTTATACATAGTTCACAGTATAGAAACGGAATCACTGTATTCATACAATTTACTCATGTTTTGACGTAAAAAGTAAAGTTTTTCTATGCAAATTATCATTTGAACATCAGGTAAAAGAAAATGCTGCTGATCACTTGTTACATGTAATTCGATAATAAAAACCAACAAGTCTATTTTAAAACTGTGTTGAGAATGCTATTTTTATCTTAGATTTAAGTGTTAATTAGGTAATAATGTTCCCGCCGCTTTACTTCATAATATATTTCTCTCTATACCAATGTGACAACCTCAGCAGAAAATAGAACAACACAACCGGATCCGGGCAAGATCCCAGGCGGTGGTGGTGAGTATTGTAAATTAGTAAATATATGCAGGTAAATTAATTTACAGGGAATCAACATGCAGTATGAAACCATGGTCGATTGTAATCCCAACTATTATGATAACTAACTTGATACATTAAACGTATATGATAGATAAAATGTATACTTATCAGATTTCCATGGTTATTTATTTATCGGATTTCCGTGAATGGTAAATGTATATTTATCGGATTTCTATTAGAGATAACAGTATACTTATCAGATTTCCATGGTTATTTATCGGATTTCCGTGAGTGATAAATGTACATTTATCGGATTTCCATTCGAGATAAATGTATATTTATCGGATTTCCATGAGAGATAAATGTATATTTATCGGATTTCCATGAGAGATAAATGTATATTTATCAGATTTCCATTAGAGATAAATGTATATTTATCAGATTTCAATTAGAGATAAAATGTACATTTATCGGATTTCCATTAGAGATAAATGTATATTTATCGGATTTCCATGAGAGATAAATGTATATTTATCGGATTCCATGAGAGATAAAATGTACATTTATCGGATTTCCATGAGAGATAAATGTATATTTATCGGATTTCCATTAGAGATAAATGCAAATTTATCATGAAAGATGAAATGTTGAATGCTTTATTTCAGAGGACACAATCAATGTAATGATGTTAGCGAGTGTTGTGTCTGTGTTGGCCTTAGTTGTTGCTATCGCTGCAGTATGTGTCGTCTGCTACAAAAAAATCAGGTAGTGTATTCAGTTTTGACTTTTGAAAGAACTGCTATAAACGTAGACTGAATTTTTCAACACGATTAAAATAGTATACACGTATATTAATTAAAATCTATTTACAAATATGGCCAATATCTCTACCATGTTTTGTAAACTTTCATTATACAAACACAAAGTCATTATTCCAACAATATCTGAAAATGAGCAGAGGTTATTTACTTGCTTTCTATGGAAAAGTCCCTACAAAGTTTCAGAAACTTAAGCTGTCACTTCTCAAGTGATGGACCAAAACGAGGATTTATCACAAATTATCAACGTGACCTTGATTCCATGATGATTTCAAAGTCAAAATTTAAGGAGTTATCTACTGATTATGAGCAATGTTCCTACTATGCTTAATAAACTTAGGTTTATTCCTTCTCTAGTTGTTGATTGGCCAGTGTCGCTGTGACCTTAACCTTTAATGCAATGACCTCAAAATGTATAAGTGTCATCTACTGGCGAGGAAAAATTCTCTAGTAGGTTTAACAAAAGTGATATCTTGCTTTCTGATGTTATTAATCAGGAAGTACACTCGGACGGACAACCATGTCACGGTGGTCTCCCGCTTTTTAAAAGATATGTGATGAACTTATCAATATACTATTTCTATGTGTCTGATCATATTCCTTGCATAACAGTTTAACTATTTGTTTTCTAGCTCGAAGTCATCGGTAGCTGGCCCATCAATAAATCTAAGACCTTCAACAGCTCGAACGAGGTTTATTCGAAATGGTCGCCGGACTCCAGTCGTACCTCCAATATCAGAATGTCATCGAAGCGACACTATAAGAATATATGACGACATTAGATCGTCAGAATCATATTACGCCAGAATTCTGTCTTATGACAGCATGTATTTAACGCCTGGTAGTACGTGTATGAGATGTTCTGACCCTCCACCACCTTACGATCTAGTTCCAGCACAATATACAGACAAAGAATATAATGATGTAGATAACACATATGCTGTGATTGATGACAACATTTCAACAGCTGAGAAGATTTAAAGAAGAATTAGAATATCATATATAACATGGTGTCGGACAATCATTTATCGAAATTTTTAAATACCTAAATATGTTCTTCATACTAATAGAAAACGCAGTAATTATCAATATATACAAAAACAAACATATAACATACCCGGGTTAACAACTTTTTGACACTGTCAACCAAGAATATTTTATGTACTTGTGTACAGTCACGTAGAATCTAATTGAAACTTTTCAACGTGTAAATCTTACCAAAAATATATAATCCATAAATTTATCATAGTTCACATATATTTAACATTTGAAAACTTTAAAAACATGTGATAACCATGCGTACAACATATGTTTTTGTTAACATATTGTTTTGTATATGGTCCTGATTTAATATGCAATTATTGACTGAGGCGATAGCCGAGGTCAATATGACCGTCTGCCGGTAAATATCACATTGTATTCAATGGCTCACCAGTCAATTACTGTTTTATTATATAAATTGGTTATAAGAATTTTTAAAAAATCACAGAAAGTACAACTTTAGTCTTTATACATATACAACTTTTGCCTGTTTCGTTGAAGCGCAGGAAAAAGACGCACGTGTCAGGCGTGCAACAACTACCGAACGCTGCGCATACAAAAGTAATTCAAGTTAAGTAATGATATTTTAATTGAGACAAATACAATATAGAACGAAACGCAACAATTAGATTTTAATAAGCACCCGTAATTAACAGTCTACGATATATAGTCATTGAATATGAGCCTCAATCTATTTTTAAACTGGGAAACGTGAATATGATACTACACCCAGTGAATATGATTCTATAAAAAGTTCTGTTGACTACTTTTTAGACCAATGAGATTGCAGCTATATTTAGATTTTCCCAGCTAAATTAGATTGATGCTTAAATAACTGTTGTGGTATATTTCTCTACGTTACAATTATAGTTAAAAGTTACACCGCAATGATGAGTATAAACATGAATTACTTTTGTATGCGCAGCGTTCGCTTAGCTGTTGCACGCCTTACACTGCATCCTTTTTTCCCGCGCTTCAACGAAACAGGCTAAAGTTGTACATGTATAAAGTTGTACTTTCTGTGATATATTTTTTAATTCTTATAGTCTATTCATATAATAAAACAATTATTGACTAGTTTGCCATTGAATATGATGGTGATATTCACCGGCAGAAAGTCATATTGACCGGTCAATATGTCATCTGCCGGTGTATACCTATTCACCTGTTGCATAAATTATCCGTGACATCAATGCTTCTTTTCAGAATTGTTTTAAATGATTTGTTGGAAATAAGATAATATATTGATTTACAGTAGTATATATCTTTTTATTTTTCATAATTTAATTATATTTTGACATGTCTCGAGATCTACATCTCCTTATGCACGTGATTCACAACAAACAGCTGACTCAAAACTACCTGAAAGCACCCAGTAATAGTGAAATCAAACCTGAAACAGAAATGTTGAAGTGTGCAAGAAAAAACGGTAACAAGAGCTGTCCGTAAGACAGCGCGCTCGACTTTTTTATTGCTTGCCAATAAAAAAAGTTTTTGCAGTAAAAGGCAATACAAGAATCTCTGTATTTTTAAAGTGAACTAGTTGTTTGATACCCTTGAATATTACAGCAATGTTTATATGACATAATTTATGGTAAAGTGAACAAGTGGATAGGAATGAATTTTTTTAGATTTTTTAAGTTTTTTAGTGCTTGCCTATAATACAAAACATTGACAGTTAAGGGCCATAATTCAAATAAAATCTTTGACAGAATTACCTTCTCCTGGACATGTTTGGGAATCATGATTGTAAACAAGTATTCCAACTTTCAAATTAATATCTCAAACAGTTCAGTCAAAAAGTGGACTGGTACTAAAAACTTAACCAAGATTCTAAGTCGATAAAAGGCCTTAATTTTTAAAACAAATCCTTGACAGAGTTAACCTTCTCTTGCGTACAGATGGGGGTAATGATGTGAAATAGCATTAAAAGTTTCAAAGCAATATCTCAAAGGGTTAAGGCAATAAGTGGATTTTACCCATATTCAATGTATTTTCTAAGTCAAAAAGGGGCATAATTCTGTCAAAAACCTTGACAGAGTTATGTCCTCTTGTCTGTTGATGAAGGTCGTGATGGTAAACAAGTATGGTCAGTTTCAAAGCAATACCTCCAATGGTTTTGAAAATAAAGTGAGGTGGTACAAAAACTTAACCAAGCTCAATACACTTTCTAAGTCAAAAAAGGGCCATAATTCTGTCAAAAACCTTGACAGAGTTATGTACTCTTGTCTGTAGATGGAGGTTATGATGGTGAACAAGTATGGTAAGTTTCAAAGCCATACTTGTAATACTTCTGAAATAAAGTGGGGTGGTACGAAAAACTTAACCAAGGTGTGACGCCGACGCCGACGCCGGGGCGAGTAGGATAGCTCCCCTTTTCATAGAAAAGTCGAGCTAAAAACGTGTAGTCGGATGACCAATAGCAGCAAAGAAAAATATTTGTTTTGCTAAGCTAACGGTATTTTTGTCAAAACGACAGGGCAATGTGTTTCACAAAGTTATCAAAGGATGCTAACCATGGTGACCCAGTTTTTGTCTGAATCTAATTTTGCTTCGGTTTTTGAGCATGACAAACTATATATATGTTCCTATGGAAAACAGGCACACATAACAAACTAGCTTAAATAAAAGCATGTACATTTGTGTTCGACTTTTAGCTCACCTGGGCACATAACGCTTTAAAGTAAGCTTTTGTAATAGCAAGTATCCGTCGTTCGTAATCATCCACAACTTCTCAATTTTGTATACATAAAATTAAAAAGTAAACATGTCATAAAAATTTCAACTTAGAAATTTGCTTGGTATATGCCATCAACCTGTAGTCCTTTAAAATATTACATAAATCCTAGTCAAAAGGTCAAAATTGACCCTTCCTCACGGGCCTGGTGCATTACGGACAATCTAATTCTGGCTATATCATCTTTTTGCTTAAGGCTAGGACCAAAAATATACATTTAAGGAAGATAAAGTGATTTTTTGCAGTCAAACCAAGGATAGACTAAACCAAAAGTTAGAGGCAGGCACTAACGCCAATACAGATGGCCAGGTTAGTAGGATAGTTCTTCTTATAAATGTAACTGTCAAACTAAAAATTAGCATAAACATAAACTTTAAAGTTTTAGACATTTCTAAAAGTTAGGCATTCGATCCCATCTTGACAAAATAGTTAACAATGTCATCATGAGGTTGACCTTTAATTAGTGGTTAATGGACAATAAAACCGTATGATTTTTATTCAGTATTTATTTAAAACTTTTTAAAAAGAAAGTTTATTTTATTGTATTTTTTCAATAAGCAATAATAAAACCAAATTGTTTAGATGCTGAATTTTCTAAGCAGTTCACAAGGTCTCATGAGAAGCTATGGTGGACAACAGTCGTTTTTACTGCTGTCATTACAAAGAAATAAGCAAAGTAATTTGCAACACACAATTTCTTTATTGGTGAAGTACTTTCTAATTTTAGTTAGATTTGGTAACAGATCTGATGCATTTAATGCCCTATCAACAACATATAATAATAATAATAATAAAGACTTTATTTAAAGAGCACACATTTAGGCAAGCCCAGTCTTCCCTATCACATTTACATAATATATACAGTTACAAACAAAAAATTTGATTAACAACAAATATGAACAAAAGTTATTCCAACATACAAAAGCAATTTTAAAACGCTTAAGAAAAAAGAATATAAACTAATGAAAAAAAAATAAACATTTAAAGTAAGACATGTACTTTTTCTCAGACATATACATGTATGACTTTAGAGCACAGCTGGAAGTGTTTGATTGCCACCAGTATTTCAGAAAAGTATGTTTGTATATTTTCAAGTTTTTTTTTACAGCTGATGTTATTATAGATAAAATTTGAAGGTTAAATAAATATAGCTTCTATTTTGATGGCATTTGAAATCAGTGAATTTCTGTCACACCATTGTTGTAAAGAATCAAGGTCAGACTGAAGATTTATAATATAGAATAGATACTATGTCCAAATGCTGTAATGGTAGTGTCATCAGCAAACATATCAGATATAAAATGTGACAAATGCAAAGGCAAGTCATTTATGTAAACAGTGAAAAGAAAAGGGCCTAAAACTGAGCCTTGAAGCATGCCAGATTTAATATCCTGAGCTTCAGAATATTTTCCAGATAAACATTCTTGTTGAAAGCGATCACTCAAGTATGATCCAACCATGATATTGAATTTTCACCCATGTTATACATTTCTAGTAGTTGTTCCAATAACAATTCATGAATGATTTAATTAAATGCTTTTATTAAGTTCAGAAATATAGTCTCTCTAAGTTTTCTTCATTTATTGCTCTATTCTAGTTGTCAACAATTGTAGTGCAAGCAGTTTCACATGAATAATTTGTGCAAAAGATAGAATTTTTTGGCTGAAAATAGTTAGCTTCAAGAAATAATAATTATATGCTTATCACCAGAATAAATGGCACTAAATGTTAAATAACTTGTGGCAAAGGTAGCACATTTTAATTATCACACAACATACTAAATCCCTTTAACTGTACTCATTGCTGAAACCCAAAAGAAACAAAAAATGGTTTATCTATATGGCAAATGAGCAACTTTTTGTAAACTCATTTACTGTAACAAGATACCAAAATAAAACGATTTTGAAAAGTATGTATGTATGTAGGCTATGCTTAATGAGGGTCCATCCGCCTGTAATGGCATTAAATGCAGCTTTTGCTGTCAAGTTCGGACCCTGGACATGTCACCAGTCATGCCCTTAAAGAGTTAATTTTGAAGCACAAAGTGGTGATAATTTACCTCCATGCAATTTCCACAGAGTATTAGCCAAAGATATGAACTTTGAGCCAAAAGTAGGTCACTTTACAGCGTTCAATGAGAGCCTAAATGTACAGTAACCTGAGGATTTTGAAAAAAAAGGATCTTAACATATTTAAGGCTTAATGGTCCTTAAAAGATCCTGTATGTTGTAATTAAGATTGTTACAGCATTTACTGGTAAGTGAAATTTTATATATGTATATAATTATGCTTCTAAAACAATTTTCAAACATCAAAGAATATGTAAAATATGTACTGCAAATATTTGTCCACATTATATGTAATCATTAAAATATATATTCATTCATTTCTTATTGAAAAATGTGATAAAATAAATTTCTAATTACCTCCCTTTATTAGCATGAAATGGAAATTAGCTATTTTTTTTACAAATAATGCTTTTTGGAACTACAATATTGATAAATCTTCATTTGAGCATTATATTTATGATATAAAACCATCAAAAAAATGTGTTGCAGGATCTTTAATATCAAATAACTTATCTAAGTTCCAAATTGAGGTACAAAAATAGTATTTTCACAAAAAAATGGATTATTTTTCAAACCATAATTAATTCAAATTATAAACAAATACATGTATTAAATAGCATATTCATAGTTATTTTCAAAAATGTTTTGACCATATAGATAGAAGTTGGTTGTAGAAAAAGTTACTAAATTATAAAGTCGATTTGTTGTCACAGCTTTTCAATCAATTCATTATATATATTGTAAATAAAACATGTCCGATATCTTTACAACTCATTAACAGGATTAAAACAATGGAACCTGAGCTCAAGATTGATGTCACAACTTTTCATTAATGACATATTACAAAATATTGATTCTTATTTAGAGGGAATGTTTACAACAAACAAACATCTTCTTTCAATATTTGCTGATGAAATGGCATTATTTTGTGTTATTTTATATCAGTCTATGTAAACTATGTCAACTACTGACTAAGGCCAATATTAGATTATTAAAGATGTAATGTTTTAAGTCAAGTTTTAGCTCCATTGACCACTTTTTCACTGTATAAAGTATGTTAATATAGTGTCAAAATAGTGTATTCAAATGCTTTGTTATACACTTCTACAGAGGAACAGGTCAAAAGTTCCACCAAGCAGAAATAGATATGTATCACAGATGGGTAATGAGCGAATGTATGTTGTGTATCTTCATGTTGTCCCTTCACCAACAGGAGGGGTGTACTTTAATGTTACATGATCTGTCAATCCTAATTCTTTATGTCCTTCCCTGAAATAACATTTATACAAATTTCACGACAAAGGATATAATGCAAGATATCAATTTGATAGCAACCATGGTAGATTGTGAAATTATTGATATTACCAGAGTTTTATCATTTAATTTCAAATGACAAATACGGTACACAAACAAAATAAACAACAACTAGATCTGCCAGGCTAAGATAATGCCCCTCCCCCCATCCCTCCCCCGTCAAGCTGCTTTGTCAGCAACTATGAAGCTTTATGAACCTTCATGTTTTATATCATATTGACATCAACCAGACGGTCATCCAAAAACTATTTCATTCAAATAAGAATTACAAACTTGTCACAGACTGAAAGAAATTCCCTTTCAAAAATGGTTAAAATAACAATGTTAATTCACTCAACATTAATATGTAAATAAAAGGAATTGAAAAACATTACAAAACAAGTGAACATATATAATTTTTAAATGTGTAAGTAGATTTCTTAGCATTTTTATCCGTTAAACTTGTTAAATGGATACTTATTATAAGTAAGCTTAGTTATGAACCTTGTCACAATTATGCTGTGGTTGAAAAAAACAAAAAGTATTTTTACAGTAAAATCTGGATGTGGACAAAAAAGCCTTTCTTTTGATATTATCTTTTGTTAAATAGAGGTCCAGGTCACCCTTGTATGGCACAAGGTTACACAACATCTATTGCTCGAAGAACATTTTTAACTACATGGGGTCGAATGGCACAAATAAACTCTAAGAGGGGTTGAGATTTCTATAATGCAACTCTACTTAAAAGCACTACTTTCATATCAAAATGTACTTACTTAAAGCACTGCTGACAGTAAAGATCTTTATCACAACCCAAACACCTCAAAGTGGCATCTTCAGTACATATACAACAGTATGGCAACTCATCTGGGTCATACCACTGAAAGAATTGTGCTTGTATAAAATTGTGAAAGCAAATATGTGTTTCATCAGCAAATATTTAAGCTGTAGACTTGGCAATTTAAGAGAAAATGCTCAATGGTTTTTCCTATACTATATAAGATTATATAAGATAAGGTAAAGGTAAACTAGAAAATGCTACAAATAAAATAACTAAGCTGTATAAAGAAAAACTAGAAATGTGTCCATAGGACACGGGTGCCCCCACCGCGCCACTGTTCTGTCAATCTTTTTACTAAGTCAACGGAAATAACTCTACAAATACTGGATAAATCCACAAGCGAAACCCCAGGTGCAAATCTAAATATGCTGAGCAACCTGCCCATAAGGTTTAATGACTCTATGTCAAATCCTTTTTGAGTAACTTGCGACACAAGTTGAAAATTGCAAAAATTTTCTAAGTCAAGGGCAATTACTCTAAAAATACTAAATAAATCAAGACGAAAATACCTGGTGCACAACAACACATGCTGATCAACATTCCTGTAAAGTTTCATGACTCTAGGTCAAATACTTTTTGAGTTACGTGCGACACAAGTTGAAATTTGCAAAATTTTACTAAGTCAAGGGCAATAACTCTAAAGATACTATAAATATCCAGACAAAATACCCAGGTGCACAACTACACATGCTGATCAACATTCCTGTAAAGTTTCATGACTCTAACTCAAATACTTTTTGAGTTACGTGCGACACAAGTTGAAAATTGCAAAATTTTACTAAGTCAAGGGCAATAACTCTAAAAATACTATAAATATCCACACGAAAATACCCAGGTGCACAACTACACATGCTGATCAACACTCCTGTAAAGTTTCATGACTCTAGGTCAAATACTTTTTGAGTTACATGCGACACAAGTTGAAAATTGCAAAATTTTACTAAGTGAAGGGCAATAACTCTGAAAATACTAAAAATATCCACACGAAAATACCCAGGTGCACAACTACACATGCTGATCAACATTCCTGTAAAGTTTCATGACTCTAGGTCAAATACTTTTTAAGTTACATGCGACACAAGTTGAAAATTGCAAAATTTTACTAAGTCAAGGGCAATAACTCTGAAAATACTATAAATATCCAGACTGAAACTGAAACTGTTCTTTTAATTAAACGCCTATTTCTATATACATATTCAATGGCGTTGTACAAAAGGATAATAAAAGTATGTACATATAGATAAAAAAAACACATATGCATGACAAATGAACTACAAAAAAAAATATGTTAAAGATATCAGCCGTGTAAAATATAAAGTATTAAAAACTTTAAAAAAAAAAAAGAATAGTTATAAACAAGCAATTATCATAGTATTGCAAGCAATCCATAAGTCCCCTACCGGTTCTGAAGGGCCATTAGCCATTCACTAATGTTTCAATTTTTCTATACTTTAAGTATACATGTATTTGTTGGAAAAGTTCTTTAAAAGTGATCACAGGAAACAGTTTTTATGTACAGACAGACAGAGGGACTGAAGGACACTCTAAAGTTAATATTTGAAACATCCCTGTTACCAAAATATAACATTTTTAAAAGCAAAATTCTTAAAAAGGAGATAACTCTTGAATTAAAGATGCAATTTTTTGACTAATCACAAATATTGTTATATTTGCCATGTTTTAAGCCTATTTTTTGCCAAGGCAACCAATATTTTTTCAAAATAGGGAGAACAGAATAAGACAGGCATAATCTCAAGACTGCCATCTACCCATATGTCAAGTTTCATAAAAATATTTCCAGTACTTTTTGAGTTATCAGTGGATTCAGTGTATGTGTAAAATTTGCCATATTTTCAGTCTATGTGTTGCCATAGCAACCAGAATTTTCAACATAGGAAGAAAAGAAAAAGAAGTGCATAATCTCCAGACTGCCATCTACCCATATTACAAGTTTCATAAAAATATTTCCATAGCAACCAGAATTTTCAACATAGGAAGAAAAGAAAAAGAAGTGCATAATCTCCAGACTGCCATCTACCCATATTACAAGTTTCATAAAAATATTTCTATTACTTTTTGCGTATAAAAATATTTCCAGTACTTTTTGAGTTATCACTGGATTCAGTGTATGTGTAAAATTTGCCATATTTTCAGTCTATGTGTTGCCATAGCAACCAGAATTTTCAACATAGGAAGAAAAGAAAAAGAAGTGCATAATCTCCAGACTGCCATCTACCCATATTACAAGTTTCATAAAAATATTTCTATTACTTTTTGCGTTAACACAGGATCCAGTTTATGTGTAAAATTTGCCATATTTTCAGTCTATTTGTTGCCATAGCAACCAGAAATTTCAACATAGGAAGAAAAGAAAAAGACGTGCATAATCTCCAGACTGCCATCTAGCCATCTTTCAAGTTTCATAAAAATATTTACAGTACTTTTTGCGTTATCACTGGATCCAGTTTATGTGTAAAATTTGCCATATTTTAAGCCTATTTGTTGCCATAGCAACCAGAATTTTCAACATAGGAAGAAAAGAAAAAGACGTGCATAATCTCCATACTGCCATCTATCCATATATCAAGTTTCATAAAAATATTTTCAGTACTTTTCAAGTTATCGCGGGATCCAGTTTTGTGGACGGACGGACTGACGGACGGACAGACATACAGACGGACAGACAGACAGACGGACAGACAGACAGACGGACGGAGGGTAAACCTAAAGTCCCCTCCGGTAAACCGGTAGGGGACTAAAAATAACAATAAAAATAATTTAAAAGAAAATAAAAATCAATGGTTATTTCAGTAAAATTTTAAACATATTTCCACATCTCTATCAGTTTACAGCCCAATCACAATCTTAAAACAATGCGTGAAAATCTCTAAAATAGTAGGTTTTGACATTTTTCTTGAACATGTCCAAAGTCGAAGACTGTCTTATATACAGAGGCAATTTATTCCAGAGAGTTGGACCAACGGTACTAAAACTTCTGTCGTTAAATGTTTTCCTTTTGTTAAAGGGGACAGCAAAACAATAATCCATATTATCAACAGATCTGAGATTTGGTCTTTTTATGACAGGCTTGTGTAACAGTTCTGTTAGATAAACCGGAGCATTGCCCATAAAACAGTTATACATTGTACATAGTATTTTAAAATTGATCCTAGCTTTAATTGGTAACCAATGCAGTTCCAACAAAGAGTCTTTGGAACTATCATATTTTCCGCGTTGCAAAACAGGTTTAGCGCACATATTCTGGATACGCTGTAATTTCTGTAACTCACTTTCTGAAATGCCAAACAATATAGCGTTGCAATAATCCAAATGTGAGATTACAAGCGACAGTACTAGGATTTTCGTGGTGTCCTGAGTCAGATATTTGCGAATGCTCTTTATTCTCAAATAATTTAACATGGCAGTTTTACACTTGGTCTTAACATGTGTTGAGAATCTTAGGCCCTCGTCTAAGTAGGCACCTAAGTATCTTATGACACTGACATTTTGAATTTTATCACCGGCGATATCAATTTCTTTAATTGAACATTTACCAAGTTGGGCTTTACTACCAAACATAATGAATTCTGTCTTAGTGGTGTTCATTTTGAGTTTATTGGCATTCATCCAGTCATTGATGATTACAGCACTGTCTTCAAGTTGCTTTATAGCGTTAAGTTCATTGGTCACTGAAGTTGGTCGAAAGCGTTGACTAGCAATGTGGTCATCAGCAAAGCCGTATACAGATATGGATGGTGGTATCACATCAAATAGGGTTCCTGCATATGTGAGATAGAGCCACGGACCAAGACAGCTCCCCTGAGGTACACTGCATCCAGCAATCGTGGAGTCGATTCAGTAGAATTAACACTGACGCGACAACTACGAGGTTGCAGGTACGAGTCCACCCAAGCTAACACGGTACCATTGACACCGTACTGACTGTGTAACACGTCGAGTAGAATGTTGTGGTCAACGGTGTCGAAAGCTGCACTTAGATCTATTGCAATTAGAGCTGTGACCTCTTGCTTCTCCATACCGTCTAGAAGATCATTGACAAGTCTGAGTAAAGCAGTCTCACATGAATGATGACGCCTGTATGCTGATTGATTTTTGGGTAACAAATTATGGGTATCGACATGGTTATTTAGTCTGAAGAGCGCAGCCTTTTCTATCAATTTTGAAAGAAACGATAAGTGACTGACAGGCCTATAGTTTGACAATTGTAATTCTAAACCAGACTTCTTAAGAAGGGGTCTAACGATCGCCTGTTTCCAGTGTGTTGGAAATACACCTTTAGACAGAGATAGATTGACCAGTTTGGTAATGGTTGGCAGAATCTCATCTAGATGTGACTTTAATATATGTGTGGGTATTAAGTCCAGCTCACACGATTTGGTATTTAGTTCACAAATAAGGCTCTTCACCTGTGTTTCTGTAAGATCCTCGAAATTTTCTAAAGGTTGAATTTGTTTGACATTTGGAATGAAGCTTGGAAAATCCTGAAGTGATTTACGAATTTTAGCTATTTTGTCCATAAAAAAGTCTGCAAACTTCTCAGCTAGCTCACCGTCATTTGTAGACTGTGGCATAGGATTTTCAGCTTTAGTACCAGTTAATTCCGAAATTAAACCATAGAGTTTTTTTGAATCACCTTTGGCATTTAGAATTTTCTCACTTATTACTAGTTTTTTCTCAGAATCAATTTCTTTACAGTATCTATTCCGTGCTTCTTTAAATTTCTTGAACTGTTCTGGCTCTTTGTACTTTCTCCAAATTCTCTCTTTTTTCCGGACAATACGCTTAGATTCTAATATTGACTCATTGAACCAAGGTTTTTGAGTTCTGCATATCCTAGTTTGTTCCTTTGTTGGAGCATGTTTGTCAATAACAGATTGGATTTCTGATTCAAACAAGTTTACAAAAGTATTAACATCTTCACTATCAACTGAAATCTTCGTTAAATGATCAGAGAATTCAGAATGGGATATGCTTTTCCAGTTTCTAAATTGTACAGTTTTACTGGTAATGTTTTCTTT